AGCGAAGCTACATACCAAGCATTTAATGTCTGGTAGTCTAGTCCACTCTAAGCAAGCACGAAGAGCGGGCCGGGGTTTGTGGTTGTGGGTTGAATTGTGGGTTGTGGTAGTGGCTCGGGACGGCAAGAGGTGTTGTAGAGTATCACATCGGCCACTCGAAGCGGGATCTCTACTGCCGGTAGCTGTGCAAGCAGAATATCCACTCCAACTAAACACACGGTACTGTACCTACCAATACCTACATCACGAGTATCAATCTACCTCTCTAACTACCTCCTCCAACAACAGCACCAGCCTATCACATTACAGCCTGCACTCTTTGGCCGTTTCTTTACCCCCCCCCCCTCTCTCTTTGCATAAGCCAGTAAGTAGACAAAGTAGAAGAGGGCTCAAACCTGCCCCCCTCCCTTCCACCAATAAAATTTGGCGCGCGCGCGGCATTGAAGCGCGGCAGCATTTCTCTGAGCTGAACTGCCAGCCGAGAAAAAGATTCTTCGGGTGGCACAGATCTGATCAGTCAGCTACATGAAAGTTATCAGTGCTTGGGGCAGGCTAGCCAGGAATGGATCTGTAGTATTGTAGTAATGATTTCATTTCTACAGCAATGTCTCGGCGAGAGCGTACATGCACCTTGGTAGGTATAGCACTGTGCTTGTACGTAGTAGAGTACTCTAGATATGGGGAAGAATTCTCTCCCTTGCAGCGGGTAAAGGTTGTTTCATCAATGCAGGACGGCGCAGAGACCTCAATCAGGACGCAAGCGCCATGTACAATCTACATCTTACTCTGCTACCAGTGCCTTCAAGTAAGTATTGGCTATATATCAGTATCAATAAACATTTTCGCATCATTGTAATATATACGGGATCACGGCGGCTGATCAGTGATACTGATTGATGAATCGTAGTTTATGCAGCAGGGGAGGGATGATGGGGTCGATCAGGGGTAAATAATGGTACGTCTCGGTTGGAGAACAAGAACCATGTAGACGGGTTGGAGTGGGTGGGTAGCGTATATGTGGGTACGAGCGAGCGAGGACTTAAGGTTTTTTGTGGGTGATCATGACGGTGGTGGGTTATGAGGTATGATGGCTCCAGCTGCACGGGCCATCCAAACGAAACATGGCAGTGGGAGAGTGCTGCAGGTACGGAGCTAATCAGCACACCTGGTGGGTCATCTACATGACGAATTGTGGGCTGATAAACCTGCAGATATCTAGGAATCGGTCAATGGATCAATCAATATAGGCAGATTACTTTTTCATCTAGTTGACGTTGGCTGATTGATCGACTTCTGCGACCCGGCTAGATCCACAACATATGCGTACGTGATCTATGGGTTCCACCGCCATTCTGCAGCTGCAGGTATCTCCCAGGAAAACATAACCGCCAGGTCTAGTTTTCATACCCCAAAATCATCATCACACTCAATGTCAAATTGTTAGCCCTCGTTTCCGGGTTGAGGCAGACATGCTAATAACATAGATTTCCTAGCTGATATGAAGTTAGAGAGAGAAGAACACGAAGATAGAACACGAAGACAGATCACGAAGACGGAGCACGAAGAGAGAACAAACAATGAGCCTTCCTCGAGACGAAGATACTACATCCAACACCATTGCGAGTATATTCACTACTTTGAAAGTTCTAGTGTTCCTCTTAGACATCATGCCAAGCTTAGCTAGGCAGGACCTGGGAGTTCGACCTTCCGCCCAGGACCTCTCCGCAGTACCTCAAGTCATTACATTATCAACAAACTCATCCATGCCATCTACTCGAAGCAGTATCAGCAAAACAGAACCATTTCTCACCATTATTGCGCTATGCGTACCATATATAAGGCCTACCTACATTTCGCTCACCGTTCATCACTCGATGTTTCCGGTATGTACAGCTCGTTCAGAAATCGACGGGTGAGCAAGCTCTCCGCTGTTGGGTGAGTTTCGGTTTTTGTACATTTTTTCTTTCTTTTTTCTCTACTGCCTCGCGGTATGGTTTTTGTCCTAAGTTTCGGGGTGTTAGTCTATGGGGTGGTGGTCCAGGGCGGGGAGATGAGATCCATCATATGTAGGTTGAGGTGCTCAACCTAGAGCTGAAACTGATTTCAAACATGATGCAGTTAAAAGGACAGGTATAGGCAGTTTTTGTAATCCAAGCCGAAGATGGGCTGGACATGAATATAGCCAAGCCCCGCCAATCCAACAGCAGATTCCCGCGAGGCCACGCTTGCGGGGCAGTCACAACTACAAAACCAATACAGCCTACAAACTTCATCTCACACAAACCAGAAAGATCTTTCCCCAAATCTGATCGTCAATCTTTCTGGTTAAAAGATTTTACTTACCATTGGGGTGATTGATGCAGCAAACACGCACCCCGAGAAACAAGATTATGGCGAGTCATTCAAGCCTTGGATGCGACGAAGCCTATAGCTACTTATTAGCAGAACAGAGCGTCGATTGTACCGAAATTTCGAACCAATCCAAAGCTTTCGGGACACCCCCCGCCCAATAATGGCTGTTGTAATATGGACAAGGTAACGGGGATAAGGGATCGCCGTCCAGAGATGGCAGAATTGTTTAGACGCCGGTGCTTAACAGGGGAGAATAGCGGTGGAAATTGATCCTGTGTCAACCGAACAGAGGAAGTCAGCCGAGCTGATGTTTTCTATGAAGTGGCTCATCTCCTCGGTGGGTCTATTTGAATCCTCATCCATGAAGGGTTTCCAGTTTTATGGGCGCGGTTGGGGCTCCCTTTTATCGAAAACATGTGGAATATTGGTGATACCAGGAAATATATCGCACAGAACCTCAAAGCGCCCTGAGATAGGAGGACCTTATTGGTTGATATAAGCGTATCATCACGGCTATTCGAAATCTTACTCAATAGCTTAAAGGACTGGAGAATAAACTAAGAGTTGGTGGATATTTCATACTTATTGGTGACTATGCCATAGGGCGACGGGAAACGGTATACCTAACCAACCAAATAACAGAGCTTTAAGTAAAATAAAAATCAAACATAAAACTTTGATTCCCATATCACCAGAATATTAAACTGGCTCCCAAATGTCTAACCGGTTGAGAGATGTTCCCCGATGGCCAACGCGGTCGAAGGTCGGCTCTATAACAAAGAAGCGCCTCGCCTCCGAAAACCGGACTGGGAAGCCCCTCCAAACCAACTACATTTGACAGAGTAAGTTCAAGAGCAGTCAGGGTGCTGATACGGCTTTGTCACTTCGAGAAAATGATCCTTCTTAAGGAAATTTTGGACGAGACTTTGATTAGGCTCTCCATTCGGAGATTAATCCTCCCATTTTCACGAATCAAATATTAATTACAAAAGAGGGTGGTGCGATCTGGCCTAAACCGTCCATAATGGCTGTGGCCCTGAAGGTTTCTCGGTTACAAAGTCAAATTCAGAAACACAGATGATCACTCGACAAATATGTAACACGTGATCCATGGAAAATAACAATTTTTATCAATGGATACACAAACGGCAGCCACCAAATTACCATTGGGATTACTATCGAATTCCAAAGGAACTTATAGAGCCTCGTTCTCGTAAAACCAACGAAGTCTTATGGTTTTGGTCATACCCTAATGCCACCAGGACCTAATCTCCCCCACATTATGTACTTACCCGTACCAGAGGCTTCAGAATCCAGATCACTGTAGCTAGCCATCGATGTTCGAATTTATACGCGGATTGGGCACTCTTCTCCGTATGCCGAGAGGGCAAGACCTATACACAATCCAATCATGTGAGCACTATCGATCCTATAGGTCCATGTGGCAACCTTAGAGAGAGGGGTCCCGGTCAGCAGCGCATGATTAGATTTTGGGTGTTAACATTTTATCATCATCGAGGCACCAGTAGTTAACGTTTCGTTGGCGTTAAAATGTTAAAGACGCTCTCGGTGGGTTACACACAATCGTATTTTCTAACGACAAAGCTTTCGCCGGATTAAATCTAGAGAACGTTATTCATGCCAGTCATCAAATATAATCCAGTGCTCTCCGGCTGATTTTATACATAAAACTCGAGACCCCATTGTTAGAAATTATCAAACTGTACTTTACAATCTAACCCCACTGTATTTACACCTACCTTTCCCGATATATACCCACCAAAATCTATTCTACCTGACACTAAGGAGATAGAGAGAACCTATTTTACAGGACGCGAGCACGATACAAAACAACAAGAATCGAACGAAGGAAAACACCAAGATGGCTTGCAATACAACTCAGTTCTATGTAAGAAAATCCCTCTTGTACTCCCATAAAGCGAATGAGATAAATGAGAAAGCAAGGAGAAGAAAAAAGAAAGTACTTTTAAGCTGTTCCGTGAAAAGAATAAAGACAAGACATTCCAAGCCACAGTAGGTACAGAAGGGGTTTAAAGATACAGAGAAGAAAATCACTGCCGGAAGAAAGGACTATAAGCCGCCCAAGTATCTCGTCCAACGAATAACTTCCAGTGAAACCCGAACGCTTCACCGACATACAATTCCTCAAGCCAAGTGATCCCCGTTCTCCGAAACCAGAGTAAAAACCGGAATTATCAAACTTGCTGTATGTCATGTCAACTTTCGAAATTTTTTTTTTAAAAAAAAGGTAAGGCCAAGGTTTACAAAAATAGTAACGGAATCCAAGCACACTTCAAGAAGTTAGAGAAATAAAAAGAGGCATATTGACAAAGTTTACAGGAAAGAAGCGAAGATACAAACTTAGCACAACACAAGAAATCAAAAAGAAAGAAAGAAAGGTGTAGTGGAACAATGTAAGATTCATAGGGAAAGTCTCGAAGCAAGCCAGAATTGATACCCGTGTCAGAGACTTTCGCACACCTCATGCTCTTACAACCCTATAACCGGATTCATTTTCGTTATCATTTAGTGTATTTTCATCTTCCAAAATTATTGTTGATATTCTATCGGAAGTAATATCTAAACCAATTAATAGGTAAAGATATTTTTAGCCCATCAGTCGTCCTTCAAAACTCCCAGTCTTCGTCTGCCGATTCTAGGGCCCACTTAAACTTCTCACGGAGAGTTTTCGCGAAGACCTTCTCGATAGGTACATCGTATTTTTTGCAAAACATGACCGACAATCGGGGATCAATGTAATTCTAAGAATGTGTCAGTGTACACCTAGGAGAAATAGAGAATTTTGATAGAGTTCAAACATACAATCTTACTAGTTCCCAATGCAACGGTCTTGTTGTCCTCACGGACTTTAGCCTCAGTTTCCTGCTTCAGGATTTTCTCGTCCATCTTCTCAATCTGAGCTTCGAGTTTTTCAACCGTAGCCCCTTTCGTCTTTGGTTCCACGGCACCAGTCTTGTTCTCTGCTTTGAATTCGGCCTCCAATTCACTAACAGCTTTAAGTCGCTCCTTCAACTCGCTGGGCTTTTGCTCCTTCTCACCATTCTCGGCAGCCTTCTCGTTCTCCTTCTCAAACTTCTTGCGTATTTTCTCCTTCTCTTGCTCAATAAGAAATTTCTGATGCTCCAGAATCCAATTCTTGTCGTCAATCTCGGGGTCCGGTTTAAAGAAAGCAGCTCTTTTCTTCTTCAACTCGGGCTTGAGAAAGAGAATTTGTCTCTTCAAGCGCAGCTTCTGGTAACGTAGAGCTTTTATCTAGATAACGAATCAGCCAAGGTCAGGACAAGGATACCGAGAACTTCACTGATATCAAACATACCTTCTCTTCTGCTTTTAGCATCATGGTCTCGTGGCTTGCGCTAACAGTACGTTGATGATTGCAAAGAATAGCGACTGCCTTATTAGCCTCATTATAAGCGGCATATTTATCATGAATAGAACCCTCGTTGGGGATTTTTGCCAACTGTTGTTGCATAGTCCAGGAGGCGTTGTAAGTACGGAAAACCTTAGCTGAGAGTCCTGGCATGTAATTCTGAAGGTGCTTATTCAATTGACTCGTCTACCAGACTGTTAGCATTGAATAAAGATGGGAGAAGCGTGCGGGCGACTTACATCCAATCTGTCAAAAATCATATCACCCGTGGTCTTAGGCGCCTTTTTAAAGATCCTCATGTTTTTAAATACCTGAGGAATAACAGGAACTTCCTGGTAAAACCTGATGGAATCCTTACCCAAGAAATCGAAAATTACCAAGTCGGGTGCTTTCAAAGTGACATGCTCAAATCGGAGTGAACAACAGCCAACAGTATCAGCTTCATCTTCGCCCTTCTCATTACCAGCTCTGAGAGCAAGTCTATCAATAAGATACATCGCAGTAGCGCGCTGGCGATCGGCCATAAGTTCGGACTTGAGATCACGACCATAGTCGGCACGGATACGATCAATGTGTTTCTGTTCATATTCTCGTTAATATTTCTAGTGAAGAATGTGGTCAACTCTTCAAATATATTAACCGTACCTTAAGTTCCCTCGCCTTCTCAAATTTCTTGAAGTCGCTCATTCCCTTCAAGCTACTAGTGGCTGCCAACATAACGTACTTAATGTTGCCGTTTATGTTCTCTTTCCATGTAGCCAACCAGGTGACAGTATTGTCATGGATGACATCGGCCCACTTGTGACCTGGGGGTGGTGGGGGTACGGGTACTCCATTGCCAATATTGATTGTGACTTGTTCTGGTTGAACCCTCTGTTTGACCATACCGGTCTTTGGGTGCTCTCCACGACCACGAAACAGCCCAGGGGGTTCAATGCGAAAATTGCCGACCTTTTCTTTCCGGCCATCGAGCAAACAGTGCAAGTACTTTTCCTCGGCCTTGTCTTTCTCTGCTTTGATCGCTTTTTTCTCCGCCGAGCTTAAATTCTTTTTCGCCTCAGCTTCAGCAACGAAATAATTATTCATATCAGTAAAGTCGCATTTTGCAAATTCCTTGATAAGGACTTTCTATGAAGGTGTCAGTAAAAAATTATTACCACAAAAGAACACAACAAACCTTGCCGGTGGTGTCCTTGGCCCCCCCCGATTCTTTCAAAATTCTCTGGAAATCTTTAAAAAAATTTGCAGTAAATGTAGGATTTGTAGCATGAGTAGAATTTAACATGTGTCCGAAAAATCCAGCAACCTCCTCTGCGGCAAGTGGCAAAGTAACGGGAACTCCATCATACTTCAGCTTGACATTCTTTGGCAATGGCTCGTACGCTGGTGGAAAAAGAACTCCATTATGCTCCAAAGTAGTCCATTTTTGAGTCCCATCCGTTTCTGCTTGATTTTCCCACCATTTATACTCTTCGTCCTCGGCAGTCTCAGCACCAGCGGGCGTATCCTCCTTGGCAGCCTTTGCCTTTCCTTTAACCACCGCCTTTTTGTTATCGACCGCTTTCCCCTTGGCAGTTGCTGCATTCTTAGAAATAGCTTTAGCTTTCTTCGCCAAAGGAACATCGTCATCCGAAGACTCTTGCTTGACGCCATTCGTCTTTACAACTGGTTTCCTCTTGGCCTTCAACGGAACATCGCTATCACTTTCGTCCTTAACTGACTTCCGCTTTATCCCGTTCGCCTTGATAGCAGCCTTCTTATCCTCCGCTCTGAGTTCCTTTGCAGTTGCCGCAGCTTTGTTTTCGATCTTCCTTTTTTCTTTAGCAAGCTTCATCGTGGCTAGAGGGGTGTCTGAATCCGACGATTCATCTTTGGCAGCAGCAGCCTTCTTGTTGGCGGCCTTTGATGCTGAATTCGTGCGGGTTTTTGATGCTGCTGCCCTCTTGGCTAAGGGTACATCATCATCAGATGACTCAACTATCGTACTTGCTTTGACGCCGTTACTTGTTCTACGGCGTTTTGTCTAATCGAGGGAAGTTAGTAACATTTCACTGGATTATACAAGTGCAGAGGCTCGTGACTCCGCCGAAGGGCCCGTGAGCGCTGGTAGGCAGGGATAAACTCACCAGTGGAGTATCGCTATCATCACTGCTTTCCTCCTTAATTGCTGGTTTTCTTCCCTTCCTTTTCGCCCTCCCATTGTCTAATTCCTCTCGAACAGCAATATTCACAATTGGGACACCAGCCCGGTCTCCCGTGGGATAATCGACAGCCATCGCATCAAAATCCTTGTCAGCTTTTTTGTCTACAGATTTTGGGATTCTGTCCGGTAGAATGGGCCCTTTCCCGTTCGTCGATGCAGAGGTCGCGGAGGATGTGCCTAGGCAAGCAGCAGTCAAGTGTTAACGAGAAACGCGATTGGAAATGGAAATGATAGAAATTCATAAGATCTATTGCTCTGGGGAACAAATATGTTTCGAAGAGGAGCAGAGAAAGCAAGAAACGGCACTCCAGACGTCCCGTCGTACAAGAATTCGCTGGTAAAATAGAGAACTAACAAAGAAGGGGGTGGGAATTACCGTTAGTGCGACGGCCGTTCAGCATGGCGAGTGGAACATCATCTTCTGACGAAGACATGGCGGAGGAGGTGAGTGGAGATCTAAGTGATCTAGAGGCGCGTATGGAATACGCGAAAGTTGGTGCACAGGTTGTGGTAAAGGGCTTCGACGGCAGACTGGAAGTGCCCTTTAAAGCCCGTCCAGGGGTGGGGCGTGAGTTCAATACAATGTGTGACAAGAAGGTATTGATGCTTCGTGCGGAAAAAATACGATAGAATTGGAGTGTGCAAAAGTCAAGAAGAGGGTGCAGCTTTTTAGCGGGGGTGTGGCGAGAGGAAGAAAGGGTGGAGAGGGAGGGTGGAGGCTGGGGATGACGGGTTGATCTGTTAAGCACCAAAGGCTAGAGAGAACTGAGCGGCGTGGTGAGTGGGTGTTAGTGCGAGTGTTGTGAAGGACTCGCAGAGAGTGACGGCAATGTATGTAATGGCAGTGGCAGTAGCAGTGTCACAGGCAGGAGCAGCAGCAAGCAACGGTAGCTACAGAAAGGCAGATGGAGAAGAGGGAGTAACGCGCGAGAAAGTGCAGAGGTCAACAGCAAGCAAGGAGGGCGGTGGGATTTTGCAGCCTGACAGAGCAAATGCCGACACGCTGGACGCTGGGACTGTTCTGGATGCTGGAACGCAACAAGTAAAGCACGGTGCAAGGGCGGGTATGTAGGCTGAGGAAGGGTGTGGGTGAACCGAAGGCTGACGAAAGTGGTGAAAGGGAAGTAAGTGTGTCGGTAAAAAGTCAGAGAGCGAGGAGGCGAGACGAACAGCGAAAGTTAGAAGAAGAAGGATCGTGCTGGGCTGTCAATCGAGTGCGAGAAAAAGAGAAAAAGAACACCAGAAGTCGAAAACCGCTAAAGCCGGGTGAGTAAGTGTTCAAAAAATATCATTGGCTGAAGCGTGATCTTCCTGGCTGCTGACTCAATTTTTACTCTAGTTGAAGAAAAAGGCCTTGGTAACCACCACCACCATACCTAGCCCCAATTCCTTGGTGTGCCGCCTGCTGCTGGTTCCAGATCCCCACGTTAGGAAAAGGAAATCCGCCCACGCTCCATCCATCATTCCGAGAGAGTATTCATCGCTCTGCAGTGAACCACCACAACCACCCCCCTCTCCACTCTCTCCTCTCAACTCCCCCATAACCCTGACCCTCATATTCAATTTCTATATATCCATTTTTTTCGTTCAAGATGTTTTCTCGAGCAGCCAGACCTGTTCTCTTGAAGGCAGCGGCCACTTCTACTAGGTAAAGGATTTCAATTGATATCCCCCTCCCCCCCCCCACTTCCTCGGCTGTTTCATCGCTACACATCATCACCATCACCATCGCTAACATCTCGCCTCGCATCGTCATCTCGTTCGTAGGCCAGCCCTGAGTAACAACTATGCCACCCTTCGTGAAATCGAGGGCCGTCTCAAGTCCATCAAAAACATCGAGAAGATTACAAAGACCATGAAGATTGTCGCCTCCACAAAACTTGCCCGTGCTCAGCGTGCCATGGGTGACTCTCGTGTCTACGGTGAGACCTCCAACAAGGTCTTCAGCAATGCCGAGACAAAGCCTTTGGAGGGCGGAAAGAACCTCATCATCGTTTGCTCTTCCGACAAGGGCCTATGCGGTGGTATCCATTCCGGTCTCACCAAGGCTGTTCGCAGAAAGCTCATCGAAAACCCTGATACCGACCTCGTCGTTCTCGGAGAAAAATCTAAGGCGCAATTGGGTAGATCTTCAGCCAAGAACATTGTTATGAGTTTCGCGAATGTCGGCAAGGACATCCCTAGTTTCGTCGAGGCCCAGACAATTGCCGACCAGATTTTCCAGCTTGGAAAGACTTATGACAACATCGAGGTTCTTTACAATTCGTTCAAGTCTGCTATCTCTTACGAGCCCAGCACCATCGAAGCTTACTCTGAGGAAGCAATCATGGCCTCTGGTGAGTCTTTATTCCTTTATTCCTCGGACTGTCATCTCCCATTCAATGATGAAGAATTTTCGGATGTAAAAATATTATATTGTTATCCGAGAGCGCAAAACCATGTGGATATTTTCCGTTGCCTTCCTTCTGAGATTTACCCTTCCGGCTTTACCCGGTCCGGATTTTTATGCATTTTCAATGTTCGTCGTTGATTCGCCTGCTTACGTCATCAATAGCCAACATTACCTCTTTTGAGATTGAAGACGAGCAGCTTAGCAACCTCCGCGAGTTTGCTTTGGCCAACACACTTTACTGGGTAAGCCCTATCCTCTCGCGCCTATCGTTCACCCTGACCTTTCCATCAACATGACCTCTAACGGAATATGAAAACAACATAGGCCCTTGCCGAAGGCCACGCTTGCGAGAACTCTGCTCGTCGCAATGCCATGGACAATGCATCTAAGAACGCTGGTGATATGATCAACAGGTTCCAGATTCTCTTCAACCGTACCCGACAGGCTGTCATTACGGGAGAGTTGGTCGAGATTATTACTGGTGCTGCCGCTTCCGCAGAATAAGCTCACTAGCAGTCTTATCTTTCTTATTAACACCCTTTGTGCATATATGTGTGGAATTACAAGAAGAAAAATGTGACGTGGTTGAATGCGTGTGGTACCTGCATGTAGTAAATTTACAGAGCATACCTATTGTGTGGTTTGGACCATGAGATGCGGAATTTAAAAAAATAGAAATGACTTTTTGTTAGAAATTATTAACGCGGAGGATGTGGAGGGCGTGGAGGTGGTATTGAAACCTCGTCGATACAAAGAACTGTTCATATGCAACCCACATCGCATAAGGCAGGGCCAGTCGAGAAGAATGTCAATGGATCAGTTTTAAGCTTTCTGGATCAAATCACGGCCAACCTTGTTAATGCTGTTTGTTTGTCGAAGTTTATTTCAAAACAGGAACAGCGAAACCTTTCACTTTTTTTTTCTTCTTGGAAACTTCGAGTAAATAACGTGACTTTTCTATTGCCTTTGTGCCGTGGCACGTGTTAAGGTACCCATCTCAATCGCGTACCAGCAACTCACGTGTTGTCGCGTTAAGTGCACACTACTGGTCGATCGATCGGATATACATACATGTAGGTACATACATGTAGCATTTAAGTCTAAATGCCGGCAACGGTGCCAGCCGTCAGATATGAGGGCGGCAGACCCAATTATTCAGATGCTTAGCATAGCTAGAGACTCATGGGTTGTTGCATTTCTATACCATAATAACTGAAGGTACCAAAATACATGTATGAAGTAAGGGGTTGTTATTTTCGTTTTCATAACAACATACATGTATGTATTCTACCGGTCTACTCCAATGACATGTACTCCCACCCCTTCACCGTGTTTAAGCGACTATGACAATGCACCCCTCTTTGTTACTCCCCTTCCTTTCTATCGACTTCAATACCAGCCCCCCCAAATCCCATCCCAACTACATCCGGACCTGTCCCCACTCTCTTCTCGATTTGAGCCTTACTCTAGATTAAGATGAAACTGTTTCACACAACGAACATCCAAGGCGGACCAGAAAGTTAGCAACAGCAAAGAGGTACTTGATGCATTGACGTCCTCGGGCAAAAATTGGTATTTTCACACCCAATCATCGCCGTTACGGGAGAAGAAGAACACCGAAAGCCTGTCCGCCGAGACCACGTGGCGAGTGATTGTCTATGAAGAAGGCTCTCCAGGTATCGGTATCAACGCAATAAAATTTGATGACGTCTCTACGTCTGATGAATCCACATCATCGTGGGCGTCAAGATGCTGACGATGTCAAAGCGTCAACATCATTATCCGACCTAATTCTTCCATCAGTTGGCCAACTCATAAATCCTTTTAACCGCGCTGTTCGACATAATAATTATCATCATGACTACCCCAGCTACCCAGCATCAGCAAATGGATAGAACACTTGGGAATTTTTAACCAATCACTTAATCATCTTCAGCTACGATGGGCTAATTGTGGAAGGCTGTGCTAAAGCCACTCCTTGTCTAGGTTTGTTGTTCCTTCTGCTCACAATTAGCAGAAAGCTGCAATATGGGCCATGTGTACTAACCAACTAGTAGAACATCTACCAGGTCAGCAAAGTCTCCGGGGTGTTCCAAAACGCCACAACATATGGTTGTTGTTGTTGTACACGTGCAATGCATAACTACCACATCAAATCAAATCACCTCTCTTGACCTACTAAAAGGATGCAGAAACACGTATCCGTTTCATCCAGTATGACGGCAGCCTATCGCTTTTGTGACGTCACTTGGTTGGAAGTTATAATCTCTAACTCAGCATTATAATAGAACTTGGTGCCTTCTCAATATGCGGTATATCAATATTGAAAATGTGGAATGGTCATTTCCAGTGCCAAGAGGCTTCCCACCAATCAGGTTGACGCCTGCAATAGAGGCGAAACGGCGAGAGAAAATAATTTCCGATCGGATGCTTACTGTCTTATCTACAGCAACTCCCCCTATTTCATCTTGCTGGTTATATAATGTTTCAAGGAATTGGAGAGCCATCCATCTCATTGGAATTGAGACCTGGCTCCGAATATTAATTTAAACCTTGTGTTGAAACAGTTCTTAGTTACAAGTTGATCTGAGATTACCCCACGCTCTTATAGACCGTCTTATGAGACTACTTCAGATCCCAATAGATTTACCGGAGACAGGAGGTTGGCTTGTCTGACTGTATTAATTAAGCCAAGCCAAGCCTGCCTTATAGCATATTTCGAGTGATAATTCATGTATATAATTCAAGTTCGTGTTTTGAAAATTGGGTTTCCAGCACTTATTATAAGCGTAGCCCCAGGCTTCATACCTCATAAACCATATACATCCTAACTTATGATCAGATAATGCTGAAGCCGGTGATAGCTTCCCATATCCCCTTACAACTGGTCTGGTCACTATATGCGATCACGATCGATCGCTACGAAGGTGACGGAAAACACAGAAACTGGAAGGATTGCGTACAAGCTTGGTTATATTGTAACTATTTCTACCAGCAGCCTATAAGCACCTAGTCTAGCTAACATGAGACCAAAGTCTGTGTTGAGTTCTAGTTACAGAACTGATTGCTGTAACATCGACTCGCATTTGCCCCGCAGTATTCTACCTCTCCTTCTAGTTCTTCAACCATATAACGATTTATATCCCAAACAGTGCATATAAGACAGTGTGTACTTTATAGCAAATAGGCACAAATCTGGGGGACTCATCCATACACAGTATAAGGGCTAACTTAAGAGGTAGCAATTACTTGGAATCCAGCACCCTCTCACCGTGTTCTGCCAATAGCAACACTTAACTAAACCATCTCATACTAGTCTTCGGTATTATGCTACTACACTTATAAGAGACAAGAATTTGCTAGGCTATCCGACTACATATGATCTTTGACCGGCCCCTGAACGTGGTCGTTTCTAAGGAAATGGCGAAACTTGTCTAATTGAGTTCGATTAGTGAAAGAAAATGTACTCTGACTTTGTATTTTGATCGACGTTAAAGTCCTCTCACATTAACTAATCCCGTCATCTACTGTAGAGGCCGGAGTAGAGAGGATAATATGACTAGGGATCAAATGCACAGGGAGCCCTAAACTACCATGCGCACTCGACTGACTCAAAGAATTCGGAAAGAGGTCAGACTGCCGATAGTATTGAATTAACTAAAAGTAATTATAAGCATTAAAAGCAATCACTAGCATCAATATCAATAGTCTGGATCACTAGATCACTTAGAATCAACTACAGAAACCAGCAGAAACAACAATTGAACCGGAAACGTCGCAAAAAGAAGTTCTCTAACTTAGCCAATCAAAATCTTAGAAATACGCAATAAAAGTTCAGTAAATCCATACTAAGTGCTTATTAAATAAGCTAATGGTACTCTAGTGGAGTTAGATTTTGTATACATATGAATTCTGAAATTCTTTTTGAGTATGTACCATATACAGATGTGCACGATATACTTCTATCGAATTTTACTAGTTCTCGTCAGTATTGGGCTTCGCTATCTGCTTGTTTCGGTGGTTTGCTGTGTTTGATGAAATTTCCGAGATGCCTAAGCATGCTTAGACAGCATAACGCGCACCAGCCTGTAACCTGCGCAACCTAAAACTCAACAAACACATGCATGGGTTGGCACACCAATTGTATGGAGGTACAGCGCACAACCCTAGGCGAAATTGTCCAAACGTGTGCGCTTTAAATATAAACTCGAATTAAATATCAGATGTATTCTATATGCGTGGTACTCGATTTATATTGCTAGTTCAGAATGCGGACAAAACGTTCACGGCGGCCAGTGGTATTTCACTATAATCCCTGTACATGCCGTAACCAGCCCAGAACTCACGACGTCAAAACAAACCCCATCACCACACTGACGCACCCCCGTTCATCCCTTCCTTCGAGACCGTTCCACCGACACCATCTCCTTCTTCCTCTCTTGATGGTGTCACTTTAATCTTGCTCTCCCCCACCTACCCCCACGTCCCGAACGAACTTCTACACTCACACGTGGTTAGAACGCGTCTTCCATCACCAGCATCACCGCCCCTCTCTCGACCATTCTTCTACCCCCCCCCCCCCCCACAATCAATCAAACACCAGGGCCTTTGAACCCATTCCTCCAATGGCTGGAAAGCGTAAACGAGCCTCCTCCGATAACGCTGCGAGTGCTGGCGACAACACCGAGATGGAAGAGGCCCCGGTAGCGGTACTCTCAGAGTGCCCATTCAAGATTGAATACAAGTCTCCCGCGATCAAGAAGGCGATAGTCAAAAAGGCCAAGCAGGCTGCCGCAAAGCGCCAGAAGTCCACCGTTACATCTGGGGAAGCGCCGCCAAAACAGGAACTAGATCAGACGGTACCCGAGGATATGCCTGCAACTATTTTCACCATCAATCCGAAGAAGCAATGGGATACTTTGAAGAAGTATCGACATTTCGTTGGTGGGTTGAGCAATTCAAGAACCCAATGACTTTCCTTCCTTCCTTTTTTAATTTTTTTTTTTTTTGCCTGTCGCTCACTCTTTAGTTCTGGGTGGTGGTGGTGGTGATTGATGACTGACTATAGCAAATAGTGGGAACCGAGAGCTTTGCGCTCCAGGAATATATTTTCGTCAATCACGATAACATTCCACACGGAATTGACATCACAAATATGGACGATCATAAATTCTGGGTAGCCCGAGTCCTTGAGATTCGAGCTATCGACGAGGCGCATGTCTATCTGCGTGTGTATTGGCTGTACTGGCCCGAGGAGCTTCCAGGTGGCAGAGCGCCATATCATGGGAAGAAGGAACTAATTGCCAGTAACCATATGGAGATCATCGATGCGATGACAGTTTCTGGAAGGGCGAACGTCAAGCATTGGCTAGAGTTGGATGACGAAGAGGACTTGCCAGATCTATTCTGGAGACAAAAGTTCGACTTCCCGTCAGGAACTTTAATGGTAAGACATTATCCCCTGGTTTTTCGAGAAGTGGTCGAGTCGTATTGTAGAGTTTGTACCCCAGCGAAAATCGCAAGTAGAAAAACAACTTGTAAAATTTTGTCTCATGAACAAAAAAGGACACAAGCAAGGTTTGAAATTTTAGTCTAACTATATAGCGTATGGGTGTGCGTTTGCAGATACCCATTTTCCTTGAGTAATAACCCCCGGTGTATAGCTGCTAACATCCAACCCAGGAGGTCCGCGAACATTGCAGGTGCCATGGCTACTATAACCCCGACAAGATGATGCTTGGGTGTACACATTGTAAGAACTGGCTGCATGAGGAGTGCATAGTTAGCTCTGTGCAGGAATATATCAACGAGGCCCTTATCGCCGGCCAGGACCCTATGTTGCCCACAGTGGCTCTCACCTCTGCTCCTGAGCCTACGGCCAATGACGAGGATAAAATCGTCACTGCACCACCAGAAGCGACATTGAAAAAGGGTCGCGGCCGTAAGTCACTCATGGAGGCAGCTGTTTCCGCCGCCCCAGCGACGCCAACAACCCCAGCGAATGGGAAAAAGGGGGGCAAGGGAAAGGGAGGCAAGACAGCAACCCCGGCAAAACAATTGAAAGAGGTGGAGGAGAAATTTGAAGTCACCGTGCGCTCAGATAGCGGGAGTAACCCGGTGGTTATCGTAAAGGACCTTAGGGATGGAGCGGCTGGCGCCACACGGGAGGTGAGCGTAGTGTGCTTGCTGTGTCATAATGTTGTAAGTTAGTATGTAGTGTACTGTTACGTTGCAAGTGGAGTGAAGGGAGTTTTCTGTCAAAAATTGCTTTTTTTTTTTTGTTGTCTTTTTCTTAAGCTACATGTATTCCTTTTTAGTAAGCTTGAGATTTATGTTTGTTCTGTCTTTCTGTCTGATGATCAATTGATATTGTTGTCAGCCCGGTATATAATTATTGTTGCTACTGCGAGTTTTTGATACGAGTTATTGCTTCTGCGAATCATTTCTATTTTACTTAGGGCCCGGCCGTGCATGCGTCAGCTGCATGCAGATACATATCGCCTATTCTAGATTATATACAGGTACGTTGTATATTCCAGGACATCACACCCATTCGATTGATTCTCAGCTGTGCACGGCGTCTACACAAAGTACGTGCACCGTACCTCTACAGCATCCAAGCTACATATATACCTCGAAACAATATACGTTTGCAACCATTCTACGCGTAGTAAACAATGGGTCCGAACAGAACCAATTGTAACTTGACTAATGATCCTAAATTCCAGTCTGGCTTTATGTTGGGGGCTTGCTGTTTGGCTATTTGATCAAGAAAGGCCAGCTGGTTAACGCGAATCTTGTCCGCAACCCACCCCAGCTTCCCCGCGATCCGCCCCAGCTTCCCCGCAATGCACCTCAGCTTCCCCGCGATCTGCCTCAGCTTCCCCGCGATCTGCCTCAGCTTCCCCGCGATCTGCCTCAGCTTCCCCGCGCGCCCAAAAACCCCGCCCGCCCCTCCCGCCCATACCAGATCCCCGCAAATCTCATACACCAAGACTTCGCCGGCCGTCTCGCAGTTAGGGCCGAGTCCGGCGCCAATTCTAGTTCTACCAATATTCCGACCGGCTCGAAGCGGAAGCATGATTCCCCCCCCCTTGGACACCGATTCTGACTCGGAGGATTCTCAGACTGGATTCGACGATTGGAGCTCGCCCGGTCCTGACTCTGACGACTCTGACGCAGAACGGCCCCACCGCTCTAAGAAACAGAAGGGCAAGCCTTTAGTCACCGAAATCTTCTACCCAACATCGCCCGAGACGGGAAGACAGGGTACTGCGAGGCTGTCACCAAGGGGATGTTCCTCAACGGCGATATCGAAGTCGACGGCCGCAGGGCCTACACCGTAAGGAGGCTGGAGATGTGCTGGAGGTGCAGGAAAGCTGGCGCTAGTAAATGCGTGATTCCGGAACCGGAAAGAGAGACGTTCATGAGGGGTCTTACGTGCCAGACGTGTACGAGGGCGGGCCAGAGGTGTTCGAGGTTTTGATAGCCGTATGGTCGGCCGAGCTTCCCGCTGATGGCCGCCGCTACCGCGCTGCCATGCCGCTCGTGCGAGGTATCACCGCCGGCTTCCTTCCAGGAGCCGGAATAGTACAATGAGTGAGTCAGTTCTACTACGGCGTAGCAGGTGGGGTTGTGCTGGTATGGGTTGTCTTTTTGAGTCTCATTTTATGATTTTACGAATGTTCTATCTATCTATCTATCTATGTCTTTTACGTTATCAGGAATTATGGTGTGTACAGCCGCGTCCGCAAAGTTTTGGCACCCCAAGTCTCGAAGCTCATGAGTTCAAATCGTGATATCAACAACCGGATAAGAACGACTGCAAAGAGAAATTTATAGTTATATACATGTATTTCTACACCGCTGTATATCATAACACTTTGTAATGTTACCTTTCGAGGAAGGGGTCCAAAATATTTTTGTTTGTTGCAATCGCGGATGTTTTTACAGGGTGCTAAAACTTTGCGGACGCGGCTGTACGTGTCGAACCTAAGAATAATTGTCGGTTTGTTTCATAATCTCTCACTCGGATTACTAGTCATCGCCTCTCACTCGCTGGTTTCTTGGCGGACCGGGCACTATTGGAATAACGGCGAGTGATCGCTTGTGATTAAGGCCCTCGAGCTGGCTCGATCGTGGCGGATAATTGCCATATCTAGGTTTGTCAGGGCTGTGTTTTGTTGTAATACTGGTATGCAAGTGTAGTGAGTACTCCTAATGTTCTTATTGAGAATATCAACTAGGCTAGCTAGTGAATATGTGCTACCAATACGATGGTTTATACCTAGGCCTCGATCGAACAATGGTTTGAAGTGAACAAGAGGGCCTGGCTCGAGAATTCTTGCCTCGCCAACGCGTTGCGGAACACATCAACCTGAAACCAGTCCCAGAAAGAGCCGGCCGGCAGCTAATCGTGAAGATTCGACGAGAAAACATTCATACCTGGTGTGGTCCATGAGCCAATCATCAAGCCGGCTCATTCACAGCGAGCCTTATAATACCACCCAGTGATTGAGCCCGAGCCAGCATGTACGCATGGGCTTTTCTCGTACTGGTTGGCTCGAGCCGGCTCATGATATGAGCTTAATTTACGCATTTTTAATATGCCCCGGCCCGAAGGGTTGAGGCAGCTTGTAAACATAGGCTTATATATCGTCTTTCCTGAGGTATCCGACCCCCCAAATTAGCGATCGAAGATAGAAGTTCCACGGAGCTATTATATTGCTCCGGCTGGCGCTAGCTAGCGCGCTTTAATTTGATCTTCGCCAATTCGTGGTCTTGGCGGAAGTGTCGTCCTGCTGTATCGATCATTGGCCTGCACTGGCTCGAGACTTTTTTCACGAGTCGCTACCAAAAGCTCGAGCTAGCCTGGTATATATTCAAAAGGCCGAGCTGCCGACTCGACTCGACTCGAACCGGCCCCATGAACTGACCACACTAGCTATAGTCTAGGGGATCCGTTTGTTTGTTGCTGGTTTTTATAGGAGTCGGTCTGGCCAGAGAGAGTGTGGGGATAAGCGTAATCAAAAACTAACTATGATTGGATCCATCTGTAACGCTGCCAAAGAGAACAAACCTTTCTGAAGCTAGAAAGGTCTGCTAGCTACAGAACAGGTGGCGAACAGGCCGAAGACTCGTAGCTTGTGTTGGGTACTGTGAGCCTATTCGAGACAAGCCTAGAGCTCTCGAGCTGCAGTGGCGCGGATTATACTAGGAATAAAGGTTAGCTAGCTTGCAATTGAGTTGTTCAAGCTCGGAAACTAGGGGCGCTCAAGCTTAGATCTGTTATTATGGCGAAAGATAGTTATCTTGGATACAGCTGTCATTCTTGAACACGGGTTCTGGGGCTTTGTTGGTTTTGTTGTCCCATTTTGCCGTTGTGATCGGTCTTGAGATCAACTGATTAATTGCTAATAATTCGGGATTAAGGCTCGAGCCTTTCATGATCAGTCTTGGATCGAGCCGGCTTGAGCTTGTGGTAACTGGTAAAGAGAGCTCGAGGTGTTTGAGCCTAAAGCTCGATCGAGCCGTGCCCAACGTTACCAGAGGGGTTCTAGGAGTGCTCATAGTGAGGGTCAGGCAGGTGGAGTTGCAACGAGGATTGCGCTGCCTAAACAGGTTAATTTGTTAATTTCTACTCTGTTAAAAACGAACGAAGGGGGTGTCTGCGTTTATCCTTATAAAGGATATCCTCGCAAGCAGAGCCGACTGTACAAACATGTATATAAATTGGCCCGGTCGTTATGAAGCTAGCGGCTGAAGAAGGGAGAGACTTGAAATAGCTTGTCGGCCTGACTTGGGAGCTATCGGACATATGTCGAGCCACTCCACTCTAGATCTGTTATAAAATAGAACTTATAGACCACGGCGTCACGCCAGGATTAGGCCTAGGTAGACTCCCAGACTTCTAATCAGCCATCCTCGCTTGTGTTTATCTCCTCAACTGCAGTCTTCATATACAATGGCCGGTAGAATTATTGTGAAAGTGGGTTTCCGTGGCCCGATAGTCCTATTTGGCCCGGCCCTTGAAGGAATTTTTGCAGTAGATACGGACTAAGAAGCTGACTGTTTTAAGTTCTGGCTTTTGTAGTAATTCTATCAGACTGTGTATATATGCGCATGCGGCGTAGCGACCTAAGAGAATAGTAATTCGAACTGAACAATACACAACGTGTTGGCGCTCACTATATAAGCTCCTTGATTTGACAGTGACAGTAACCAGAATTAAGCCCCTAACGCAAGGTGGAGCAAGATCGTGATCTGTTAAACGCAATATTGCAACGTATAATTCATCACGCGCGGGCTCCGTGATGCATAGTTTCTGTTCCAGTTGTTTGGTTCGGCCTCGTCCTCGCCAATTGGGGGTTTTGAAAATTCAGTTGAGGTCTGACGAGTGACGGTGGGTGATAGGCGCGGCTAGTCCCTGCCGCCAAGAATAGATCCTCACACTGCTTTGTGCAACCCAAGACGGCCCCTGTGGCTGAGAGTGGCTCCACACCCGAGTGACACACCATGACGTGACCCTTTGCCAAGCACTCCACGTGCAGGTCCCCTGTCCGTCACACATCCCACCGCTGACTGTCGCTCACCCATTTCCCTACTAACCGATCATTGATACACCAGCCACGCCCGCCACACGCCCCAGCCAGCCAGCCCGCCAAGAAAGAACAGCACTCGGATCGACGGCTGACCCCTGCATGACACGCGAGCCAACCTTAACTTCACCTCACCTCAACACACCTCAACTCTCACCTCAACACACACCACAGCTGTACAAACACACAACCACCACAGCACGAGAACGATGTCGTCCAAGTACGCAGCACTCCCAGACCTGGTGAGCAGTCCCGCCTGTACAAATTGACCCAACCAGACCGCTGACCAGAAAAAACACAAACAGGACTCCTCACAGGACATCTACGAGACCCCCGACCTCACGGACGACGTCTCAACCCTCCCCGTTTGTCCCCCCCCCCCCAACCCCCACATCAACCAGCCCAGCTAACAGCACCCCCAGACCACCACCAGCATCCCCGACGACGACTCCCACGAAAACGACTCCGTCGACGGCAGCGGCCTCGTCACCGAGCACCTGCACCCCACGTCGGCCCGCGGCCGCTTTAAGCACTCCGAGATTGACGCGCGCGGCGTCGACTTCTCCGACCGCATCAGCGGCAAGCGGCGGTCGTACCGTGCGTCGAGCCGGCGGCGGCGGCGCCGCGGCGGTGGTGGTGGCGGTGGATACGAGGATGAGGCGGGCGACGAGGAGGGGTATGATAGTGAGGAGCTGTACGGCGAGGAGACGCTCGCCATGAGGGTTGCTAGGCTGCGGAGGGAGATTGAGGAGGTGCGGGCTGAGGCTGCTGCGAGTGGGGGGGAGAGTGAGAGTGGGGGGGAGGAGGGGGAGGAGGGGGAGGGGGGAGGATGGAGGTGATGACGAGGATGGAGGTGTTGAGTGATGCGTTGGAAAGTTTGCAGATACAGAGCCCCGAGGAACGGGGTGCGCAGGCGAAGCTGGCGAAGAAGTTGGTTGGGAGCCTTAGTGTCCCGCCTGAGCCTACCCCCATCACCACCGAGCCTACCCCCATCACCACCGAACCCACCGAACCCACCGCCACCACAACCACAACCGACCACACCCCAGCAGCCCACACAGCCTCCTACACAATCACCTACGCCCCCACCTTCAAACACACCCACGCCCTCGCCAAAGCCGCCGACTTCGACACGCGCCTCACCGTCCTCGAAAAGTGCATCGGCATGCCTACCTCGGCACTCTCAGACCCCTCCCGCACCCTCCCCACATCCTCCATCATCCCCACGCTCGACGAGCTCTCCCGCCAGATGTCCGTGCTCACCTCGTCGTCAACCTCCTCGCTCGACGCGGCCTCCCGCCGCGTCCGACAGCTCACGCAGGAGGCCGAGAAGCTCGCTGAGGCGCGGAAGGCGGCGAAGGCCGCTGCTGACGCGCGCGCTGCTGAGGACGCTGCGGTCGCGGGTGAGGATGTTGTCGCTGCGGTGGGGGCGGGTGATGGTGTGGGTGGGGGTGTGGTGGGAGGGGTGGGAGGGGCAGGGGGGGCAGGGGGGGAAAGGGATGCGAAGATTAATGCGCTGTATGGCGCGCTGCCGACGATTGAGGGGATGGGGCCGCTGCTGCCGGCGGTGCTGGATCGGCTGAGGAGCTTGAGGGCGATTCATGCGGATGCGGGGCGGGCGGTGGAGGCGCTGGCGAGGGTGGAGAGGCGGCAGGAGGAGATGGCGGCGGAGGTGGGGAGGTGGAGGGAGGCGCTGGAGAGGGTGGAGGGCGTGGTGGGGGAGAGTAGGGTTGCGGTGGGGGCGAATATGAAGGAGGTGGAGGGGTGGGTGAGGGAGTTGGAGGCGAGGTGTGGGATTGTGGAGGCGTTGGAGAAGGGCGTGTAGGGGGATGTTGTGGGTTGGTTTGGGGGTGGTGGTGGGGCGCTTTCTGAAGGTGGGGGAGTGGGAGATGGGGGTTGTAGATGGGGCATTGGCATTGGGGGTTTTGTGGTGGCCGTACTTTGGCGGGTAGGTGGGTAGTTAGTAATTTTTAGCTTGTTGGCTTGTTAGCTTGTTAGCTTGTTTCTTTCCAATGGTGTTTTTGAAGCGTTGGCTGTGAATATTATGCTTGTAGTGTTAAACGTTTGGTCATTGATAGGGACTAGGGATGCGGTGCTGTGCTTGTTAGGGAGGGTCTTCTGTGGCCTTGAACCTGCCAATGTAGACTATACTAGCACCCCGGAGCGACATGATCTTGAATAGAAGAAACATCACGATTCACGAGGACTGTTGTGTGTTTATTTAGGTGGATAGATACCCCAAGCTTTGTCTCTTTCAAAGTATAACCACTTTACTTGGTGCCAAGGATTATGCGCTCGTTTAATCAATTGGCTAATATGAGTCCGTTGTGAGCCTCGACTTAAGCTTCTATTCTATTATGTTAGTTTTCGGGGGTGGCTTGGTTTATAGATCTAGTGATCGTCTCACCACTATGACCTGGTCAGTTGACATGTACGTCTTGGATCCGTTATCTATTATTAATAAAAAAAATACTCAGCGAGCATTAATCAAGTCCCGCGAATTCCTGGTAATATATTAGCGAGTATGGTTCCGCGAGAGCAATCTGACACTTGAATGGTCGAGAGCATCTGCATAACCCTAAGCCTAATACGTCCAGATACCCTTTGAAAAATAGCCCTGTTCGGTAGCGACGAAAAACCCCGTGAATCCATGGACTGACCCCGATCTATAGAATAAAAACCAGAGGTGTTCGTTAAAAGCCAGTTGTTGCAATGTGAACCCCATTGATCTATGAAAAGTCCAGATTTTCTTCTTTATCTTCGTAGGTAGCAAAATGTTCACCAGAGTTTTCTCCTCTCCTTCAACCCATCTAGCACGGCTTTCATAAGTCTCGCCATTTTGGGCAGAGCTTGGGTGCGATTGATAGTTTTGACAGAGTTGACTCTCCACCGGATTTAATGCATCGAGGAAATGCATCAAAAAAAAAATGTACCTATTGGGAAAGTCGCTTGAAAAGCATCGTGGAAGTCATTGGGAAATGCAGTAATTAACTCGTCGGGAAGTGGATCAGGAAATGAATCAGGAAATGAACCAGGAAATGAATCAGAAATGAATTAGGAAATGGATCGGGAAATGGATCGGGAAATGGATTTTAGCCCAAACTAGGCTAAAGGTTTATTTTTCGAAAAAAGTTATTCGAGTTGGAATTTAACTCAGGTCATGAAGGGTTCTAATGACTTAGTAACTACTAAAATTTGGTTATGTTATATATAGATAATATATTATTAAGTCTTAAAAAACTATAATTTTGGTTATTTTGACATCGGAAAGTCATCACAAAAGTCGTCAGAAAAGTATCAAAAAAGGCATCAAAAAAGGCATTCTTTGATGCTTTTCCAGTGGAAACATTACTATGGTAGGATGCATTTCCTGGTGCATTTACTTCTGTGGTAGAGTGATAGCTAGGTCCGCAGTTATTGACAGCTAGGTCCGCTCTCTTTGATATGGTGCGCACACTCTTAAAGATTACACGGCGGCATACCTTAGCGTCGAACCGCATACAATTATAAGCCTTATTCAGCCGGCTTATCCAGAACGTAGGCTCACAATAGCCTTATCAGTACAAAAAGGTTCAGGTAAGTGCTATTTAAGCATGTTTTAAGGATGAAATAAGGCTTAAAAAAGGGTTTTTGTACTGATAAGGCTATTGTGAGCCTACGTTCTGGATAAGCCGACTGAATAAGGCTTATAATTGTATGCGGTTCGACGCTAAGGTATGGATGTGGAACAATTGTGGCTGGAGTATAAACTTCATAACTAGAACTACATTTCCATTGTTTTAACTTTTTTTGTTAAAAAATGTTATTAGCTATCGACTTTCCGCCATTTTCGGTTACTTTTAAGAGTAGGCGCACCATAGCTAGGTTCGCTGTGCTGTAGTGAATAACAGTCTCGGGTTGGGTTGGGCGATCAAGTGTTCCTTTTTGATGTTAGTTTTGTACAGGATATGTGGCGAAAGGCGACTGAATTGGGGAAAGGACACTTAGCTGAGTTTCGTATCGAATACTTACATGTACCTTTGGTTTCGGTTTTTATCCATGGATCGCGAATAGTGAGTAAGGGCCGGTTCGGTGGTTGGATACAATACTCTACCACAGGAGTAAATGCATCAGGAAATGCATCCTGCCATAGTAATTTTTTGGAAAAGGCATCAAGGTGATGCCTTTCCAGCAAGCGTCTCTTGGAAAGGCATCAACGAATATCTTTTTTGATTCCTTTTTTGATGCCTTTTTTGATACCTTTCTGACGACTTTGTGATGGCTTTCCGATGTCAAAATAACCAAATCCATAGATTTTCAAGACTTAATAATATGTTATCTATAACAAAACCAAAGCTTAGCGGTTATAAGTGGTTAGAAATCTTAATGACTGAGTTCAATTCCTACTCAAGTCGATTTTTTCGAAAAATAATATCTTAGCCTAGTTTGGGCCCAGGATCCATTTCCCGATCTATTGCCTGATCGGGCATTTCCTGATTTATTTCCTGATTCATTTCCCGACGAGTTAATTACTGCATTTCCCAACGATATTTTCGATGCTTTTCAAACGACTTTCCCCAAGGAAAATCTCGACGAGTTACCACATACTAAATCGACCTAAATCACTTGATGCATTTCCTTGATGCATTAAATCCGGTGGTAGAGATATCGTATGCATGATAAGAAAAACCCATGGATAAGAATAAGAACAATTGCGGCCAATCTTCGGCGCAACGGAACTAGGCCTAATGTTCCACCGATCCAATGGATAAGAAGGGCTATTCCTCAAGTCCAAGCATAGATCTTATTGGCAGTTTAACATAAACCCGCATAAAATATCAACGACTAATTGCACCCATCGAGCGCAGCAACACTTCGTAGACACGCATTTGATCTCAATTCTGGTTCCACTTATATATAAGTGCTACCCTTTCCCCCCTCAAATCCTGCCCCACTTTGTTACCCTCTTTCGCAGTCGATCGCGAGATAATTTCTGTCCAAGTTTATAAAGAAATTAATACGGGCGCTTACGTATGTAGATCTAGCATCATGATCGATAAGGGACACTCTAGAACTTTCATTTCCATCCTGCTCGTATATAAATTATCTAGATCTACACTAGCGGTGCGGATGTTTTTTTAATTCCATGCTTCATATCTAGATAATCTATGTTATAGAATACCAAAAACTAAACATGAGGGTAGTTACAGACATACAGCTACTACTAGTATCATCAGCTACCGAATACCTAAACTACCGAATATCTAAACTACCGCCGTATATATACCTTACTGGCCTCAGTCAAAGCCTCGACCCCCAAGTCAATCCTTGCCAAGATATCGGCGTTATATACTCATCGTTTCTCTCCGAGCCGAATTAGGTCCATTTACCTTCCCCGCTCAGAGACTCCTCCCGTGGTAAGCATTTCCCCAGAAGCCCTTATAAAACTCTTGCTAAAAGAAGAACTAAAGATAAGCCCTGCGTCCGTTGGTATAGAAGAAAACAATTATGCCCCCTACCCAAGTCAATATGTTTTCTTTCAGGTGCGACTCGATAAGCATCTCCTATTGCCCCTGGTCCAAAGAAATTAAGACGAAAGAGGCTACACCTGACACCAGGACGGGAAACTCGGGCGGAGAGCTTGTTGAGGTACCACCTTTGAGGTCAGAGGGTATGATTTATCCAGTAGTTCGAACGTCCGAGGAGCCTACTGCAGCATCTAACGGTACCGTCTAAATTGTAAAGTCACGCTCTGCAAGTTTTGTGCTGTATACTAAACGCAAATTGTTATAACGATTTACGGCAAAGTACTTTTTTCACATTCTTTTAATGATTATTTGGAAATATGTTGCGGGTATTTGAGACTACAGCCTTTTAAGGGTTTCATTTATTTATTTATTCTTATTTCAATAATTATGATAATATATCAAAAAGGACTCGTACTTATATATACGGTTAAAGTCATTACGGTTACTCGTGACGGATGAAATAATTCGCAACTTTCCCCGTTGACGCAACAATGGGTGACTTCCCGTGAGAACCTGGAAGGCGTTTAGGAAATAGATTTTTCAATCAGGATGCGACTGACTTCCCATGGCGAACAATACTTTCTATATTTTTAAGTACTGCTTTGGTTTAGTACGTAACATCAGGACCCACCCGGAACCCTTCTTAACCAATCACGCTTCGCCCTTTAAATTCCAAAGATTTAGAAATTTGAACGTACCCCCCTCCCCCTATTCAGATTCTGAATCTGGAACGTTGCCGTCTAAACTTTATTGCTCTAAATCCCTTCTAAACATCCACGGGAAGTCACCAAATATATTAACGAGTATGATTTTGCGAAAGCAATCAACGTCACACCAATGAAAAAAACATGGGGAACGTAAGAATCCGAATGAAACACTAAATTATTACACTCGCCGAGCTAGCGGTGGAGAGGGTGATGGGGGGGGGGGGGCGGGGAGGGCGAGGCCGCCGGTCCTATTCGGGCCGCCCGCGGTTGTGGGGTTTTAGTTGATATTCGAATCTAAAGTTTTGGTTTTCATCTCGTTCCGGTAGATTTTTGTGGGGTCGCTTAATCTTTTGAAGCCTGGAACTTCTCCCACACGTGGTTTAAGAGCGACAGGCCTAGGTAGGTGGCGCCAAGCATCTCGCTACATAAGAAGCTATGGTGGGTAGGTGTGTAAATTTCGGCGTTTGCAGCCAATCAATCTATAGAAATTGGGAGACCTACACCCATAATGGTACTAGCGCTTAGCCTAATGGTGGAGTTTTCTCTAATTTCCATACAAAAAAAGTTTCTCCACCCCTATGCCTTCTCGGGCCATAGCTTGTCGGCCAAATCCAACGCCTCGCGTGGTCTTCGTTCAAATTTATGGGTGCTTTTCCTCGAAGGTTGTGAAACCTTAAGCAGCAGCCTAGTGGCAGCTTAAGTCGTCGCGCAGGGCAACCCCAACCGCATTGGCCCACTCACAGCTCTACTTCGCACCATGCATGGTCGCCTGTGCGCAATGTGGCGAACCACCCCCCATTGATGCAACCTTCTTTCCTCACTAAGAGCCGCAAATCCCCTAGAAAAAATACATGTAGTGAGCTAATATATAAAATGAGCGGTCATACTTTTATATGTACTGTGGTTTTTTACTAAGCGGTGCACGGTCCAGGTCCAAATTTCATCCATCCAAGGGATAGTGGAAAATTCCCCTTGATCTACACGTTACCCCAATCAGCTATTCGGACCTTTACTTTACGCAGTAAAACCCAGTTCTAGGTCATCTAGATTAGACGGGGAAAAAAATACCCAATCTAATTGTATTAAGAGGAGAACGCAAAATCTAAGGCGTAACTGACCTCGTACCCACTCTAGTATTTTGTAGTTGCTGTGCCAAGACTTTCTGCAAAAGTTGTCGCTCACATAACTGCCAAGACCTTCTGCGAACTTTGTTCTCAAGTGCTAAGACCTGCATGCGAACAGGCCGGCGACCGAAATTGTGTAATGTTAAATTTGGCTTTCAAGTAAATAATCCGCACCATTGTTCCTTCTCCGACAAAAAACCACCCCTCTCTACAACAATTTTCGATCCCTTCACAGAATTGGTAAGCTGTCCTTGGGTTCTTCCCTCGATTAACTATCGGCTCGGGTAACTGCTAATCTAGCTCTTCTGTTGCTTTCTAGCCCCCGAAACCCTAAATCAATTGATCAACAGAAACCAGTAACGTACCTACCCATCATGATCCCTCCTCAGGTTAGCTTTATAACGTTCAAATGCGACTCCATAACAATTTCCTGTTGTCCCTGGTCCAAAGAAATCAAATCCGGAGACAGTGCACCTTCTCCTCCCACGGTCGACAGCAATAATATCGCCGAGAACCAACCTCCAAAGCCGGCCAGTATGGTCTACCCACTAGTAGATACGAGATCTGCAAGTGGTGACGTTGCGCCAGCATCTAACGATGTCTGATTAAAGGTAGATCCACTTCCACTCGGGACATTCTGGGGTACGCGGGCTAATTAACTTTTACGCAGGTCAGAAGCGGTAATATCGATTACTGGTTGAATTGGGGAGTCTTTGAGCGTTTTTTTAGAAGGATTATATGGGTATTAGGTCTACGGATATTTGTTTTGGCGTATCTTTTGTAGTATTTTCTTTTATATCTTTTTGACATACACCGCGCGCCGCGACTTTAATTTTCTTCTCACGACTGTACCACAAAAAAAAAGAAATTAAAGAAATTCGCGTAATAATTGAATTACACCTGCTAAAAACTAGTCCGGAGCGATGTAGAAATTCAAAATATGATCCATTAGACGGCCATCCACAGTTTTGAAAAGGCGAAGCATTGATCCGTCGTCTTTGGGCTGTGATTTTGACTCGCATTTTGAGGGGTGTATATTACAACCTACTGGTACTAGCCCGATTATAGATATTATCCGATCGTAATCAGACCTATCATCAACCTAGATCAATCCAAACTCTTGAGAAATCTGTACTAAAAAGTGCAGATTCGACGAGCTTTATTGATGCATTTGTTGGAGCCGCGGGGTTACTGCGGTACATAGATCATCATTGGTGCACTTACTCGCGCGAGTACAGTGCATACACAATACAATTTGCCAAGGCCGAGTGATAGTTCATGATGCCAAGCCAGGAAAACCTCGGTATTGCGTGCAGTGCTTAGTCACTACATACATGTACCTTGGCGAGGGATGTTTCAGCACCTGCCCTGCTCCGTGTCGTCGCGGCACCGTTCCCATAATATTCGAATTCCCGCGCCGTATCAAGTGTTTTTACTAAAAACTTTTGCTGAAATAGGTCTCGCACTGCCATCATAATATTTTCCTCCAACGCGCCAGCCAGATCTACTCTAGAACCCATAACACGAGCCACAATCATCCGTCACCCAAGCTCATCTATACACCTAGCTACAAGTAGCTACAAGTACCTCACACTAGCATCGCTTCGCCATTACCAAATGGTAGAAAACAAAACCCCCTCTCGAGCTCTGCCACTACCGTTAGGAGCCGCACCGCCAAGTCGCGCCACACCCGAGTGACCCCCTATGTCCCACTTACAGCCACCACACCCGCCACACCCGCCACACTACCCCAATCAACAAACCTTTGACGTCCAAGTAAAGTTGTGTGGTCCGTTGTGTGCCAGCCGTTACCAGGTTTCCTGCGGACAGGGGTGGTGTCTGCACATGCACGTCATCCGGACCCTGCATGTGCGTGCGTTACTGTTGAGGCGTGGGTGTGGGTGCAGGGATTAGGATGGTGTATGCATGCAGTGCAGGTGAGACAGTTTTGAAAGAAGGTGTGGGTGCAACGCGATTATTAGCCAATGGGCCCGAAAAGGAAATTAGTAGTAGTAGCAATAGTAGTACGGCAATCATTACCAGCTAAAGACAGACAAGACACACAGCTACTACTAGCACCTACTAATTAACTAATTAACTAATTAACTAATCATCACGCATCCACCGCAACCAACACCCTCGCCCCCTCCTCCCCACCCCACTCCCACCCCCCAACACCCACCCCAAACCCCGCCAACCACCTCTCCACCACGCCCCCAGCACCCCCGCCTCCCCCTCCCTCTCCCCCCCCTCACACCAAAACGTGTCATCACCTACCCGCTCCACCCCCTCCTCCCCCTCCCCGCGCATCGCAGCAGCACTCCCACAAACATACCCATCCCACGCCCTCAACCCCCCCACCACCCCCCTCAGCCGTGCAGCATCCAACGCCACCCTGCACCGCAACATATGCGTCTGCATCACCAGCTCCGGCACCGTCTCCAGCGGCAGCAGCGTCTTTGTGCGCCGCCGCGACTTTGAGCGCCGCGCCTGCTCCGGCGCCGGCAGGAGCACGGGCGGCTCGCCCGTCAGCGTCGTCTGTTGGTGGGCGGGTGAGTGCAGCGCGGCCGTCGCGGCGAGGAATCTGTTTTTATGGGGGGACGATTTGGGCGGGCTGGCTAGTGCAGACGCTGGTTCGTCGTCTGCGGGCGAGGGAGGGTCCTGGTTGAGGCGTCGGCGTTTTGGCGCTGGCATGGTGCGCCCGCGATGGGGAACTTCGTCGTCGTCGTCGTCGTCGTTGGCGGGGTTGTCGTGATAGATCGTGGCGGCGGATACGAACCCTTTCCTCATAGCCGGTGCACTCGCCTCGCCGTCCTCACCGCCCGTTCTGCGAGGTCCAGAGACCCAAGAGCTCATGACGCCTGCGTTCGCATCACCGCCTTTCCTGACCGTCCCCTCTCTGGGCCCACCCGGTGGACTCGCAGCGGGCGAAATCGGCGCATCTGCCCTGCCCCTATCACTCCTTCTATTACCCGGCGACACGATGACCGATGGCGGCGCATCTGCCCTGCCCCTACTACTTCTTCTATTCCCCGGCGACACGACGCCCGACGGCGGCTTAAACGGCCTCCTCAGCTGCTGCTGCGGCGATGCGCGGGCGATTGGGGAGTTTATCTTCGCGGCGGTCCAGGGGTTCGAGATCGTGATGTCTCTTTGTGCTGTTTCTTCGTTGTCTGGCTGTTGTTAGTTTGGGTGAGATACTAATAGGGTTAGGAATGGGGATTACCGGAGGCGGTGGGTTCCAGGGGCTTATATGCCTCCTCCTCGACATCGAAATCGTCGTCTTCATCGGCGCCGCCGTACATGTTGAAGCCCCAGTTTGTGGACTTGCGGCGCGGGGTTACAGGTACTGGTACTATTTCTGTGGCCGCTGTGGGGGGAAGTGCTGGTGCAACTTCATTAGACGGCCCAGCTGCAGCTGCCTCCTCCATGTCTTCCATCCCCCCGATTATCTGATCCTCCTCCTCCCCCTCCTCCCTCACCATAACCGCAGGCGGTAAAAGCGACCTCCCAGGCGGCAAATCAACACCCATAAACCTAGCATCAGCACCACCCATAACAGCATCCATCTCTCTTGCCGCAAGCTCCTCCTCGTCCTCATCATACTCCACATCCTGCACCGGCCTTACATACGACCTCCCACTCCTCTTCCCCCCGGGGGTTCCCGCACTTGGCGCCGGCACTGCCACGGCCTTCGGTTTCCTCGCCAGCAGCACCTCAAAGCCATTTCGCGGCGCCTCCACAGCTTTACCCTTGTTAGCGCCACTACTACTACCTCCATCATCGCTCTTAAGCTCGCCATAGAAGGCCTTCAGCATCCCCTCGACAGCCGCAAGCACAGCGCCGGCGTCATGGAACATGACGTCATCCTTCGCCGGCTCGATGTTCGGGTCGTAGGAGCCTGGCGGACAGCGGATATTGAGGTATATAAACGGGTCTGCCACCCCTGGCGCTGCCAGGGCAGCCTTGAGGTACGATTTGTAGAGGCCCAGCACCTGCTTCAGTGTTCCGCGCGCGCACGACACCGCGCGGGAGTCCACGAAGACGAAGTTTGTGCACTGCGGCTTCTTGGCGATGATGGCTGGCAAAGCTGTGGGTTTTGGGAGGAAGGCTTCGAGGGTTATTGGGTGCTCTGTTTCACCCTCTGCGTCTTGTTGGGGTAGAAGGAGGAGGAGGAGGTGGTGGTGGTGGAGATCCATTCACAGGCTGCGGCAACGTCTTTGCCGACGGCTTTCTGAACGGCTTCGGGAACGCTCTTGCTGGGTGCATAGACGACGTCCTCGGTGCGGCCTTTGCTCCCCTGTGCGGCTAGGACGCGGAGTGAGAAGCGACAGTGCGGGTGCGAGAGGTAGTAGCGCTGCAGTAGCGCCCGTAGCTTCGCAATTGACTTTGGCGCGCTTTTCAATGCATTCTACACCCACCATCAGCCACCATCAGCCACAGCGGCAACCACCACCCCTCCCCAAACAACATACCCAAAGAAACAACACGTACATACCTCTCTCCTCACCGGCAGCCCCTTCAAAAACCCTTCCACCCTCACCGTCGTCCCCACCGCCGCCCCCACCGGCCGTCTCCCCACCACCGCCCCCGTCTTATCCACACTGCAACACACGGCCACTTTCTCCCCCTCCACCCTCGTCGTAATCATCATCCCCTCACCCGCCATCTCCGCCGCGCTGGCCAGCGCCTCCCCGCGGAATCCCAGGGTACGGCAGTTCGCAATGTCGCTAAAGTCGCGGATCTTGCTGGTGCAGTGGCGGACTGCCATGGCGCCGCGGTCGGCGGGGGGGATGCCGTGCCCGTTGTCCTTGACTTGCAGGATGTCGAGAGTGTTGGTGGAGAGCTCGATGGAGAGGTGCGTGGCGTGGGCGTCGAGGGAGTTGTCGAGGAGTTCTTTGATGAGGGAGGGGGGGGAGGTGAGGGCTTGGCCGGAGGTGAGGGCGCGGACGGAGGAGGCGGGGAGGGGCTGGATGGACATTGTGGGTGGTGCTCTGGTTGGTGTGCTCTTTGGTGTGCTCGCTGGTGTGGTGGTGATGGTGGTGGTGGATTGGAGAGTTGTGGGGATTGGGAGGTGAAGCGAGCTAGGTGAGATGAGTGTGGGGAGACGCGAAAGTGTGGGGCTGGCGCGTGTGGCACGCGTTAATGCCCATCACCGCTGCACCCACGTCCCTCGTGCAGTTGTCAATTCTGTACAATTGACACTCCGCAGCTCGCTCTGAGACGTCACCAGTAAATACGCTCTACTTAATCTGTGGCCTACATCGCGTTTGGGGAGCATGCCGAAGAGTACTTGTTTCGGTGAGAAAACAGGTTACAGTGCCGGACAGTCAAATCAGCCCTGATATTCTTTTCAAACCCAGAAACTAGTCCCAATCGGGTAATATCTACTATTAATCAGTCTGGTCGTCCCAATCGGGTAATAATTCTTACCAAATTAGGCTTGATCTTGGCAGGAAGTTATTATTTCACATCTACTAGTATGTTTTTTTCGGGCAGATGCCAGGGCCCCGGGAGGTAGGTTACGGTAAAGTGTAAATAAAAATCACAGATACAACTTAAAGTCCATTTCCTGATTCATTTCTACACCAAAATTTGATTCATTTCCACGGGTTTTTTAGCGAGCATCAGGAAGCACATTTCCAGTAATGCATTTCACACAAAAACACTCACGTATAAAATTGATTCATTTCCTGATTCATTTCTATAGACTGTAGAGCCCGTACGTATTCACCACAACATGCTCAACACCCGGTCATCGATGGGTAATCTGCCCAGGTCCATGTACTAGTTCCACAAGTGAAAATCCCCGTTAAAGTGCATTTTTTGTGGTTATAATAAATACTGGGCTAGACCAGCCGAAATTAAATTACCTGGAGAAAATAAACTCAGCTAGAAACGCAAACGATCTATAGTTGGCTAGCTCTTCATTTTTTTTTTTCAGATACTTGTCACCTTTTGAATTCGAATTAGTTTCGACAGATACCACCGAGACCGCTGGAATCATGCTACATTTCCACATCCGCCTACACCTCTTCAAGTGCGGCAACATGTTCTGCTGCTTCAGCAGTAGAGATTCTGAGCCAGCCCTACCCGCTAAGCTGCCGGATCAGCCTAATTCGGGCTCGAACGTGTTGAACACATTCATACCAACCGAACCTCCTCTCATACAGATCCAACCTCAAAGGCAAGATGCGATGGAGCTTTCAATAATGGAATTACGAACTGGTACCATGGCCGAACCTACCCCCACATCGACGGCCACATCCACATCCACACCCACGGCCACGGCTTAAGAGATGACACCTAATTACGCGTAGTACGGCGATAGCATATACCTCTCTTGGATGTGTGTGTACTCTCCGGTGGATACAGATTATAATACGGTTTTATATTGCATTGGTTACTTGACGCATGACTTCAATTCACCAAACTTAAATATGATCATGAAACCATTTGATTTTCTTTTGCGAATTTCTAGAACTCTTTCGGCACTCCTTTTCTCAAGTTCACCTAAGCCACATATGGCTATGGCTCTTTCTCTATATGTTATGATAAACTGTCGAGTCGACCAACCATTTCCTTTTCTAAAGCTCTAGATCTATAGGCCAGGCCACCAGTACTATAGTTCATATGTATGTGATTGCGCTGATTCCTCAGCTTTCCTTTAATTTATTTCTTATTTGCGTTACTATGGTTATATAGTTATGGAATCTCTATGAGAATAATCGAGTCTAGCTATATCATAGACGATCACGCACTGCAGGGGGGGACGTAAGGCTGTTCTTTTAATTTAAAACTGCATGTATTCCCAGACTCTTTAATTTAAACCCGATGATGAGAGATCAAATCTGATCGCAGTAGAGCTTATTTACTCTAACCGTCAATTCTGAATTGCAGCTGACACTTCGAATATCGCTACTCTCCAAAGCGGTATTCACAAATGCCAATTTTGGGTGGGGTTGCTAGCCAGGCTGCCAAATAGTCAAAAGGATAGTATACTAAATATATACAGTTGATTACAGTACACTATAGTACTTATCACTAGTAGTGGCCAAGTTTCAACCGCGAGATCTCTTCTCGACCTGGGAATCTCTTTCACCTCCATAACGTACTTCCCAATGCATCTCCATGCAGTGCATGTACTTTGCTAAAGTAAGTAGTTGGCCATCTCCGATAGTTGCCCATGGCCAGTTAATTGTCAATGGCCAAGTACTAGCTCGCAGTTGACCATTGCCTTCGGCCCATTGACGCCAGCTTAACTAATTGGGATGCAGTCAATTATCAAGGATATGAGTGATTGATCATGCGTCTAATCAGTCAATTCAGTTAGGTATTGATTGGGGCTAGAAAGTAAGAGGGGGATCCGGGATATACGTACTGTAACGATGGCTATCATTCTCCTGCACATGGAATCACTCACCTCCTGTGGTAGAATTGATCCCCTCATACTAAGTTAATATAATACGGGAATACCAGTTAATTCTATTGTCAGGTTACAAAAATAACTACGCACCCCGCATAGCAACCAGACGCGATTCCCAATCCGTTTCATTCCAGCTATGGACAAGAGTATTACATATAGTTCCTTAACCCTCTAGATTCATGGATATAGAATCACCTTGTTCATATCTATGGTGGTTGTCGAAATATACGTACTTGGATGGTTGTTGGTTGTCGTTGGTGCGTAGTTATTTTTGTAACCCGACAATATATTCCCAATCTTTAGTAGGTAAATATAATTCTACTAGACCAATATGCCCGTAAAGTTGTGAGAGTACGTTACACCTCTTCAACACGCGCGCGATAGACTACAATTTGACAGCAGGGTAAGTGATCAGAATCTGATAAGTGAATGCTGCGGTGAATACGTGTATTTGTCTTATTAGATTCTAATCACTTTGTCCTATGGTTGGGGACACCTTGAGCCGGAGTGTCAAAGTTGCCGAACTTTGAGGCTTAATGGCCAACCACCACAACACATTAAAATTAAAATAGCTCTGTAGGGTGATAGAAAAAGAGATAAATAATACTGTAACAGAGCCTAATTAATTTTATCTGTTGTGGTTGTTGAGCTATTGAATTTCTAAAAGTTGGGTTTTTGGTGAGAGGCTGACTGAATGTCGCACTTCCACACCAATAATTACCTGATTAGGAAGTACTTTAGTACATAATTACCCAATTGGGAATAGACCACTGATGGCTAGCCAATATCTTGGCATAAATCTACTGTCTTGGCATTTTCGGAGCGATTTGGTGCCAAGTAATTACTAGACTAGGAAGGTGATCTTCACTAGGACCATGTCGCACTCTTCCGTCTCTAGGTGTCCCCAACCATACACCCTAGTACGACGGTTACGTCACGGCACTTCAGAGTTAGAACTCTGACCTATCACATTGCTACTCGTAAAAAACGCCGATATGCGGACCCAGTCTACCCCCAAAGCTCGAAAAATTGGCTATCTCCGGCCAGGGATTATCAGTCGAGTGATTGGTTGAATGGCATCGATCTGCATCAGAAGTTTCCCATACAAGTAATTTTGATCTCTGGAAGCTAGCCAATTCGAGTTATGGCGGTAGTCCGGAAACGCAAAAAAATTATGAAAAGAATTTGAATCTGGGCTAATAGCTGGCTGTGTTGGCCAATTGGGTTATCCTCGCCTACGTAGGACCTGGGTTACATGTACATATAATTGGCTCGATGAAAAGAGGGGACTTGAACATTAATGGCTGCATGCATCGTAGCTGCTGCTAAGGTGGGACCGGAATTAAAGTGAACTTCCCCTGTTAAAGTGCATTTTTGTGATTATAATAAATATTGAGCTGGATCAGCGGTGAAATTAAATTACCTGCAGAAAATAAACTCAACTAAGCGATCTATAGCTGGCTAGTTCTTCTTCATTTTTTTGCATATTACTTGTCACCTTTTGAATTCGGATTAGTTCCGATAGATACCACCGAGACCGCCGGAATCATGCTTCATCTCCACATCCACCTACACCTCTGCAAGTGCGGCGCAATCTTTTGCTGCTTTGGAAGTAGAGAGGCTTTGCCCGCTAAGCTTCTGGACCCAGAATCAAGCTCGAATGGCTCGAACACGCTCATTCAGACCCAACCTCAAAGGCCAGATACAATGGAACTTCCAGAAATAATCCAAGCCGGTACCATCGCCGAATCTACCGCTAGTGCAGTCGCCACAGCTTGAGGAACGGGAATCTTACGACCCTTATGATGTTCGTATAGCTACATGTAGCTACTACTAGTGCATGCCTTTCCTGACCTCTCTTAGTCTTCATTTGCTACGTCGTCTTCGGCAGGTACCAGGTCAGATTATGATACGGTTTGGTTTGGCGCATTAGGGGGTATTAATTGCAATTGAAAATACGGTTTCAGGCGTATGGAATTGTTTGATTCTTCTTTCTTTTGTTTCTTTACGCTTAGCTGGTTCTGTAATTTACAGCTCATAAACTGAGACCAACGATTTCCTTCTAAAGCTAGATCTAGAGGCCAGACCGCCATATCAGTACTCCTGTGAAACCAGATATAGTAGCTATGCTCCAATAAACGGGCTTCTGTCTATTCTGCCCTCAAGCTTCTTGTCACGCGCTATCCCTTAAGCTGGCATGCTGACCCCCTATAATAGAGGAATTAAATTTGTATGCGAGATCTACTATTTGATAAGAGAGATAACAAGATCTGTTAGTAAAGCCACATAAAAAGTTGCTTGTTTTGAGAGGGTCAGCATTTGTTGCCAGCTTAAGGGATAGAGTCCCATCTATTCCACTGCTAATAGAGATAGGTAAAGAAAAAACAGTAACTGTGTTCAACTGAGCACACATTACCATATGTAGGTACAATCATGCGTAGCCCAGATCACGTGGTGCCAAGGATGATACAGTTTTTGTCTTGGTAGCAACTGCGAAATAAATGAGCTTTCCATCGAGGTTACATAATCAGCCTTATATACCATGATGTGTCTTGCACGCTGTAGCACGTGACGTATGATAAGGCTTAACATGTGGCTGAATAAGTGGCTAAGGAAAAGGTGTCTAGACAAGAAGCAACGTAAGAGAGAAGCTACACACTAGATTAGTCTTCCTGTATCCGTAGTTCATCGTCACCAATACATCGTCTGTCTTGTCTTTAGTCTACGTCGAGTTTGATTGATCCTCATTTGTGATCAGTTGGAACAAGACTCTAGAGAATACAGAAAACAGCCAGCAACGCCATCCAAAAATCATTTGGGGAATTTCGTTTTTCTGGGTATATAAAAAGATTATGGTTCCTGCTAATCTAGAACCACAAACCATCCGAGCGAGCTTTCTCTGAACAGTACTTTCCAATACTTCCTTCCGTCTAGCTGGACCCGTCAATCTCATTTTGAGCTTTGGACCTACAAGGCCTCAACCTTATATTACAATATATTATAATTATATAATCAATAATGCTTCAGATCCACTTCCACTTCTGCAAGTGCGACACTATTTTTTGCTGCTTCGGGAGCGGAGAAGCCTTACCCTCTAAGCCTCCGCCTCCAGGCCCGAGCACGCTCATTCAGACCCAACCTCCAAAGCAAGGTGCAATGCAACTTTCTGTTCTATGCGCTCGACTAGAGTACACCCACACTATGCAGGCGCTTGGCGTTGGTGACTAAACCGGTGACATCAGATTCGATTTGCAGTATATATTGTCTCTGTTCTTGCGAAGCCCCGCCGAGTTCTGTTGGGATTAACATTCTTGTACGAATCCTGATACCTGCGCTTGCCTCCCATGAGGCTGATAAAATTCGTGATCCATCATATCATTGGGTGCGCGTGCCAAGCGCCAGGCGGGTTTTTGGTCCTGTCAGCAGTTTTCGATTATATACGGTAAGTAAGTAGAGAAATACATAAGTCCCTTCTCGCTAATATTATTTGTCAGACTCATGTATGAAGCTTCTACATAGGATACGTTAACTATAATATGTACTTACTATCAACATTTAGAGAAGCACGTATTTCAATCCAGCCGAACAGCTTAAGAGATTGAGTTTGTAAATAAGAATAACTCTGATGTATTTCGTGCAGATGAGTTAAAGGTAGGGTTAGGGGTAAAGTCCCTGCAGCGGGCCAATGCCTGAGCCAGTGGTTCAGTCCGACTGCAGTCCATTGCAGTCGACTGTGCCAAGACACGCAGTCCAAAAAGACGGACGGACTGCATGGACTGCAGTCGACTGCGGTTTTCCAGCCAAGCCAGTCCGTCCAAACACTGGACGGACTGAGGACTGCGGACTGCATGAACTACCTAAAACAAAATTGTTTTTATGATGTTTATGATTATTGAATCGATCTCAATCCTTCAGCAGTGCAAGGAGTATAAGACAAGACCTTTTTAATATTATTCCTGTTTTCTTCAACAGTAGTAATACATATTGTCTATGAACTCCTGACCCTGAGCTACCTCAACCCAGTAAGAAAGTACTATTGCATGCCATGCAAAAGATAGCCTTGGTGGGTTTTTTCTGTGTATGTAATAGTAGTTGCGTCTGGAAACGCGAGTAGGCGACACTCTAAGAACTCTGACCCTTATAATTCAGTCTATAGTCTGACTACAGTCGGTTGACGAAGCTGTCATGATGATGATGATCCCGCTTACTCATGTTCATATAATATCACTCGATCATAGTTTATCACTCGTTCTACCGCTTCATGTACACCACCAACAGCCTGAGCCCCCGTATCTCCCTTTTTTGTTTTTGTTTAATTCATTAATTGCATCCCCGTATCTCCCTGCCATAGGTATGATTTTGACTTTTTCTTTTCAAAAACAAAAGTGAAAATGAAAATGGTTGTTTTAGAGATTTATTCGTTTATGTGCAAGTGAGTGATGGTTCGTGATGTTAGTACCCTTACACCAACACTGTCTAGATCTCTACCATCACGAAGATACAAGTACTACACCTAACCCTCAGTACACCCAGCAATTTCCCGATGCAAATTGCACACCGAACCTTATCCCATCACCTCAATCAGGCGCAAAATCACCAACCACACCTACTTCTAGCCTAACCATATCCATGTAGAGAACTCGTAATATCCTTTTCCCCCCCGACTTTAAATGTGTGAGGACACGTCTCTCAGCTTTCCGGGTTTAATTTGGGATACACTCAACCACGGCTCGAATTCCGGTCATCTAGGTAATGCATGGATGTAAATATAGCTCTCGGCCATCAACGCATCGGATTTTACCTCTTGCGACTACCCACACGTAATCACAACGTGAGCTACTTACTCCGCCCGTCCCGAAACTTGCGATCCCCAACTTCCAATCCACATCGTACTAAAAGTTAAAACCACAACCACCTACTTGTATGTTCACGATACTCATTCCAGAAACACGTACGCGCTCCAGTCCGCGCGCAAAAAGAGTACAAGTGGAAAGCCGTAATCGTTGACACATGTGATATAATTCCCGGCTCTTATGTCACGACTACCTATCTGTAATTTACCACAAACAGCCCGATGACTCGTTTCAATTCACTAGCTCCGTAATAGTAGTTCGCAGTATACTATCGATTCGCCGATAGAAAATTTCAAAAATCGCCTATATGCATATTAATTATACGCATCACGTATGTACATATAGCTAGTAACTACCGCGCGGGGCCGAACAGTCGCCGTTTCTCTCAACACCGCTTAATCCTCCGGTGAATTCTCACATGCCAAAACCCCTCAATCCCCGGTGTTGTAAAAACAAGCCTAGCTAGCTATCCCCCTTCTCGCGCAAACTTAGTTTCTTAGACCGGCTACACACGTATCCCATGATCTCCGCGGTTTGTCGCAACGTTACCAACAACCCAATTCCATACCCCAGCTTCCCCTTCTCTCCGGAGATATGGCCAGTTACATAAACCACCATAAACTCCGAAACTTCTCCAGCCCCCAACGCGAAAAGAATTTGGTGGCCCTCTTCAATCGCGAAAATGTATACTATAAAAAGGTACTGTGGCGCAATTATAATCACAGTCTATCACTCGATTATCACATGGAATTATGGTGCCCGGAAAAATCACCGTCTTCTCAATTTCCCCACCCAGGTGTGTAAATTTCCAGATGAAGTGGCCACGTTGCCCCGCTCTCTCTCTGGGAGGACACGGTTGTTTGGAAATTAGGATTACAATATACGTGGCTGTTCCGAGGGGAGGTAACAAAATATTGATGAGTGTGGTTAGCGTGCACCCGAGGGAGTGGTTAAGGTTATCTGCTAAGAGATAGATCTGCGCAAATCACGATCGACCTAGGGTTTATCGTGAGATTTGTTTCCTTTTCCTTTTCCTTTTCCTTTTCCTTTTTCCTTTTATTTTATTTTTATTTTTTTATTTTAATGTATACATACGAGCTTTTTCTCTTATCGTTTGGTATTTAGGAGTATAGCTCCTTGCGTGTGGTAGCTTCTCGATTGTATTTAATTTCGTTTGTCTGTTGCACGTAACTCCCCGCCTAACCCATCGATTACGTTTGTCGAATCCCTCACGATGATGTATTCCCTCTGACTAGCACCACATATATCGGTAACTGATTGATTGATTACTTCATTTAATTGTATGAATACATACATCGGTAATGTCTTGGTTCTTGTATAAAAGCCCTTTTTTTCATATGTTTCTTCTCCACACTTGTTACTGATTTTTATATCCGATTCAAACATTAACATTTATTTATTCCGCCCCCTTACTGTTCTTCCTTCCACATATATTTTGCCCATCATCACAGATTCTTTGAACATACACCTTGCTTCGTACACCTTTCACTCTCTCACAACCTCTTCAAACACTTCTCGAGTTACTTGCATCCACGTTTCGTCACTGAGAAATCCCGACCACAAACCATGCATTCAAAACTCACCTTCACGATATACCCTCAGGGTACCTCTTCTACCCTCAAAACCCCACCATCTTCTCCGTGGTCGCACGTTGTCAGATCGGAGCCCGAATCTGATTGGATGGCCGAAGCTGCCGAATACTACCAGCGAAAGTTGGACAAATCGATGCAGGAACCCTCATCCCCAGTTCCTCCCAAAATTTCTCGGGTTCCTAAGCGTGATCCTCCCCGAAAATGTTCCAAGATTAAATCCGCTCCTACCACTCGTGCTACACCTGCGCCAGTGTGGCCAGATCTGGAGCCTGAGCGTGATTGGGAACAGGTTGCCGCTGAGTACTATCAGCGAAAATACCACATGGGTCTTATGGTGTCCCCAAAATCGGAAACACCAAAAAAATCGGTAAAGAAGATGATAAAATCCTTCTGCAAATCTCTTCCGGGTCACCGAGAAATCCCGAAAATCGGCTTGTCAAAATCCTGGGTTCGATTCCGAAAAGCCGATCCCGAATCTGATGAGATTCCAATTCTCGGGCCCGAGTCCGAGTCCGGCGATGATGCTTTTGATATCGCCGATGAGATATGAGATCTATGCCGTGTCCGAGCCTTGGTGCCCGGAGTTGACCCCGTCTCGGGGGTGGCAAGATGTTGGGTTTTGGTTTTGGTTTCTTTCTGTTTTTCTTTTCTTTTTTAATTATATTTATTTAAATCATGTACTGGTTTCCTTGAAAGATGGAGTTTTGGTGTATATGCTTTTTTTTGGGGGGGGGGAGTATGCAAATATATCAATGGTTTATTTTTGGGGAAACATATTCTTTGCCATTGAGTGTGATGTGTCTTATATGTGCCGATAATAAGATTAGAGCCTTGTGATATGGATCGTGAATAATCAAAAGTCTGATCCTGCTCTATTAGTCAAAAATATTAAGTGGCGAAGAACCATTTCGAAGTTAATCTTGACACTTGGTAAAAAACAAGTGAGTCAATTTCGATTTCACCAAGACTAGATCTCTTCTAGTCGTAGTCTTCCCAAGCGTAGTAAAACCTTGTGCTAGCGACTCCAGGATAGACCGAGTAAAATCCTAGGCAACGGAAGAAAGTGTAGTCGATTCTGATTATAAGGATAGCAATCAGCGGTCCCGGAATATCTTTTTACCCATACTTCCTTTCTTATATAGCGATACTCGCCTTATAGAATATAGTCAATCAAGATTTTCGGTCCCGGCCGTATCCTTGTATGGAGAGGTTGATATAAGAAGTTTTGGTTGGCCATGTGAACCTTTGTGGATACCCGGTGTGAGTAGCCGGTGTTATTAAAGTAGGTACTTTAATAAGCAGCCCAGAAAAAATCTCATAAAGTTAGAAATATTCTAGATCTATTTATAGGCCATATTAGATTCGTTGTTGTTTTCTATCTCTTTATATTCTACCGCTCCATCAGAGATTGTCATCCCTAAAACTTTCTATTATAGGCATCAATCCAGATATGATTCGAGGTGTCATGGAGTCTTACATAAGGGATAGTTTAAGTAAATGTGATGATCTTCCTTATATTGAATTCATCCTGCGTTGAATATGGGCCGGGATAGTTCTTTCGAATTATATCTTTCGACTTTCAAATCAAGGGGGGGGGTTGAGGAATAGCTGCTCCTCAATATCCCTTACTAGAGATTAAATTGGAATGAAATCTCTGAGTGATATTCGGCCCATGAACCAAGCGTCATCTTTGTATAAACGCGTAACCAGCCATTGACAGATGTCTAACCCGCTCCTATTAGCGGTTATTAGCCAAGAAGTATTAAAAACTTCATGTTCAAGTGGAACGGAATTCTGTACCATTGGGTGGATGTAACATCATAGATAATCACTCGATAATCTTGGCGGGGCCATTGCTTTTGATTTTTCCATCATTCCAAACTTTGTTTCGTGACTGCCGCCGCCTTTTGTTTTGATTTGATAATCTCGGTTATGATGGTTGTCAAGAGCTTAGTTCCTCGTTACTTCCGGGTGCTCTTGCTACTGCCGTCATGGTTGCTGCCTCTCACCAAACTGATGGTGATATATGGGAATGCATGGTGAACCGCAAAAGTGGTGAGTTTAGTGAAGAAAGCGATGAGTAGACGGGGATATATGTGGCGGTTTTATATGATGATAATGTGTATGTAGGTGATGATTGATGATTGTGGTGATGAAGACGGTGATGGGGATAGGGAGAGGTGAGAGAGGTGGTTTATATATGTCTCTCCTCAGCTATGTACACTTGGCAGACCCACAAACGCCAGGTGAGCCAGGACACAATGTAACTAGGTCAAGGAAAAACCTTTTTCCGCTGCGGTCCGGCCCATGGGGCCAGCAACTCTATTTCCACCAGGATCAGGGGTTTTGTCAGTCTTATTCCTGAAGATCCCAGACAGAATGTGCCGATACGGCAATGTGTCAATACGGCACATTCTACATGTAGGTACGAGGCTATGTTTCTCTCTCCGGCAAATTGTTGGCCCCCACGGCCTCGGCCCAGACCATGTTCATGCACGACTAAGCTTGGTATCCGTTACCGTGTCTAGTAGTTATGAAGCTTCCTCTCTCTTGCAATCCACCTCCTACGATCTTTCTGAACACTAGTTGTATCACCGCTGACATCGCGCCTCTCCACCAGAACTTAGTGCGGAACAGAAAACCACCAGCAGCGTTATCCGTATACGTATCAGCGGCATATACATATCGGGTAGCAGCAACGAGAATACCATGGTGATATAAACCGGTAGCTTCAATGAGCGTACCGATGAACTCTAATGGTGATAGTCTCTAAGACGATAGCCCGGCATGCAGCGCCTGCGTGTAGCTTGGTCTTGCAGAGAAAATGAGGAGAGTAACGATATCGTTTATGATAGTAGCGACATCATCTAGAACCCTAACATAAATCTTTATCCAACCTTTTCTCGCATTAGCTAAAACACCCCGGGTCGACAGGAGCGTAAAGCTTTCTTTATTAATCTGATCTATAGATCTAATCATATACCTAGGCCCGGTTGTACTCGGGTTCTAAAATAAATAAATGATAATTTCCGATAGAAGCAAATACAGATGAATTTCGGGCCTATGGCCCCAAAATACCCGGCTCGGGTCCTCGGGCCAGTATCGACCGGCCGACTATCCTCCCGACGAGCCCCCGGAGTGCACCGCGTACCATCACCATTGAGCTCTAACTGAGCCTTTAAACACATAGAACTTCAATCGAAAGGAATAAAACGTGAGGAGTGGATAGGTGTTAGATGTCTCCCGGGCTTCAGATTTCGAGGATTTTGAGGGATGAAAGTGAGTTATTCGATGGGAGAGAGGCAAATACAACAGCTAAACACCATAACTCTCAAATGGCAATAGACGTGATAAATGAATTAACCGTGGTCAATGGTATAAACCATCGAGTGATATCTCATGATTAAGTAGCACACAACGTCGTTCTGCTAATACCAGGCTACAATTCAAACGTCCATATTAACCTATCTGGCAACCACTCAGAAGTACTTAAATACCACACTGATATATTTCAACATATCTGGACATCTACATCCACAACCACACTCTATCCAGCCAGCCAGCCAGCCAGCGTCAAACCACCACAGCTCCATAAAAGCTACACCACCTCGCTTTACAACGTCTACAGCATTAAGCCCCCATCTTAACACAACGCACAACTTTAACACAAGCATAAATACCACCATGGCCATCACCCCACCCCCCCCCCCCCCCCCGAGGGAACATGTTTCTTCGCCCCAGGCAAGTAACCATGTACCTCGCCGCCCAAGAGCGGCAACATAACCAACTTTGTCATGAAGGGGCAAGGATACATGTATGGTTATACAGCTAGGGTCGGACAACTAGGATGGGACACGTAATCGAGTGACACGAGAAGTAATATAACTTACGGCCGCCGATGGGTGACACCCCAGGGGAAAGAAAATGTGTTACGGTGTCTGGTTGTGGAGTGAGGTACCCCCTGACCTGGGTATAGGCCTTGTGCCTACAATTCTGTTCTATCCAAGGGAATCGTGACCTGTTATTACTGTGTTCGGCTGCTGGTTACCGTTGTGTTGAGCGAGCATTCGAATAGATCCCAAACCCATGCAATAAATAAAACGCCATATAGTAAACAAAGCACCATGTAGTAAACATAATACCATGTAGTAATCAGAACACCATGTAGTAAACAGAAATGCACTACACGAAAGCTACGATAATAATGGATTCCAAAGTTTCTCAAACAGTTTTTTCATACTAGATATAATATTACACTAAAGAAATCTCCTCTTCAACCCATGATACGGTCTTTTTTTCGTCCAACACTAGCTTCATCATCTAAACTCACACACGCAGACACAGAATGCACAATCATAAATAATTGCCAGAAGAAGAAATTTAAGATATTATGTAAACTTTAGGAAAGAGAAAGGAAAGAGATGACCGCTCCAAAAGAGAAAAGAAATTCCCAACCAACCAAACCACAAACTGAACCCAGACGCGAACTTAAATACATACATTTCCCCCATCCTAGGGCCCACAATGAGGAAAAACATGGAAACCATGAAACTGACGTAAGGTTCTCTTCACACAACACAGGCTTGTTTTTCCTTAGATACTTGTAGGATCCAGATTGTACTTTTGGTGAACGAATATCGAAGAAATCGGACGGTAAAAGTAGAAAATTCATTCCAAAAGTATACCCAGGGAAATGATAAGGAAAGTATATTACACCATTTATGAAGTGAAAAGCTGGGCAAGACCGAAGTGCTGCTCAACATTGTAGGCACCGGGTGCCTTCCAGTAGTCATCAGTGAAGGTGAAGTATGCGACACGTCCAGGCAGAGCGGCAACCATGGCGGCGACGGCAGTGGCTTGTTGAGCGACACCGGGGACGGCGAGACCGTTAGCCTCACCGGATGAGGGCCAACCGCACTCAAGGACCCAAGCCTTCTTTCCAGAGCAGACAGCTATATTGACAGACAGTTAGTATATATTCGTTCAAAGTTGGAATGCGAAATTATACGACTTACCCTCAGTGAGAGCGACCTGGCTGGACAGGAAAGTACCAGCGTCAGAGGCAGCGGTACCAGCGTTAAAGAAGGGGTGGATGTTAACACCAATAACATCCATAGCAGCGCAAAGGTCGGAAGCACCGTAAGACTGGAGGATGTTCAAGGGCTCAGTGGTAGTGACAGGGCCGCTGTAACCAGCGTTCTTGAGTTCGGAGCCAACGCTGGTCATGTAGCCGGCCAACTCGGATGCGGAACAGTACCCGTTGAAGACAGCCTCGTTACCAATGACCACCAAGACAATCATGTCCCACTTGCCCCAGGCGATGATATCCTTAATCTGGTCGGCGCCAGTGGAGCCACAGCCAGCCTTGAGAAAAATGCCAAGAATCAATCCAAGGCCGTGCTTCTCAGCAGATCCACCAACATTCTCGAGACCGGAGCAGTCGGTGGAGTAGATACGGATGTTCTGGAATCCCTTGGAGGCAATTGAAGCAACATCGGTCTCGACTTCCTCAGCGGTCTTGCATCCACCACCGTTGGCGTATGGAGAGTAAGTAATGGCCCAGAGACCGCCGTTGGAGGTAATCTCACCGACGGCGGAAGACGCGGCAGGGGCGGCGGAGGAAACAGAGTTCGAAGGGATAACAGTAGCGACAACGCTGGAGACACTTGAAACGATGGAGTCAGCGGGGGCAGTAGTTGAGCCGGCGGTGGAAGTTGGGACCGCAGGGGCAGCAGTGGTGGTAGGAACAACGGCAACGGCAGTGCTGGTTGCATCAGAAGTAGGAGCGGCGGTGAAGAGCGGGCAAGTGACAACCTGAGAAGTGACGGTGATGGTGGTGACAACCTCAGGCTGGACGTAGGTTCCAGGAGCATAGGCGGTTGGTACTGGGTACTCGACGGTGGTTGGTGCAGGAACATCAGTAGTGGTAGCACCAATGGTGTAAGTACCAGCAGTCGGGCAGATGTAGGTGGTAGTGTAGATCTTGCTGGTAGTAACACCATCATCAACCTCAACAGTGGCAAGCGGGCAGACAACAGTGGTTGAAGTCTCGACGATGGTGGTAACACCACCGTAGGTCTGCTGACCGGCGGGGAGCGAAGTGGTCTCAGGGACACAGACAACTTCGGTGCTTGTCAATGTCACTGTGGTAGCTGGGATGGTGTAGATACCGGGGGTAGCAATGGTGGTCACCTGCTGGGTGGGGACAGGTCCAGCTGGAGTAGTGGCAGGAGCTGAAGCAACACCAGAGACTGACGAGACTGCATCCACCTCTGACGAGTAAGTAGTGATGGTAGTCAAAGATGTTGAGGTCTCAGTGTGTGTGACGGTGCTGGAGATAGTTGTGGTAAGCTCATCAGTGGGGGCAACACCAGATGGAGCCCCGGCAGCTGGGACACCAGTTGATGTACCGGTTGAAGGAACACCAGTTGAAGGAACACCAGTTGAAGGAGCACCAGATGGAGCACCGACGTCTGGGACACCAGTGGATGAGCCATATGAAGGAACACCAGCAACGCCCGAGGAAGCAACACCCTCACCAGTTCCAGGGACACCGGAGCCAGGGACACCTGAACCTTCAGCTGGGGGGATTGAGTATGTAGCATCAACTTCACCAATGGGGACAACGGTCTTTACTGCCTGGACAGTAGTAGTGGCATCGGAGACGATAGTCGGCTCAGGGGTGACTATTGAAGCATAATGTTAGACACATATGAACCCTACATGTGCACAATCCCACGATCTTCATGGGATAATACGCATATCTTAAAACATGGGGGAAACACTCACGAGTGACCTCAACTAAGTATGAGGTGACATAGGTAGAGCAAACACACTCGTCCGGAACGACCTCAGGAACAATCTCGCGGGGTGCCAAATCGACATGGGCAGCATGGGCGTGGCGGCGGTGGGAGTGTCCTCGTGCAGACACACTGCCTAGGAGGGCAGTCGCCGCAATGGCAACAAGACTGTATCTCATGATGATGATTTAAAAACTAAATAATCGGGAAAAAAGAAATAACTCTTTAACCGTCGATCAACCGCAAAAAGTTGGGTTTGATATGGAATGCTGTAGTTGGTGAGTCGCAAAAGAAAGGAATGCCCGCTAAAAGAGTGAAGCGGTTGTGTACGTGAAGATAGGAATACGCAAAGTTGCCTGGAACGAAGGTTGCCTTGTGCGTGGTGAAGGAGAGAGAGAAAGGAAGGGGAAGATGGAGGTCAACGGCTGCATATTAAGGGAAGTGCAAATCAAGCCCAGCCCAATCGCACCCCTCCAAAAAGGGGGTGAACATGTACCTGACTGTTGGACGACTTTGGCCTCAATGCTAAGACTGTAAGTTGAGTAACTGACGCCCGGGGTCGTCGCAGGCTGAGGCTGCATGGATAATCAATTCTAATGAGATGGATGAACCCAGAGAACTTTCCTGTTCCTGATGGTCGTCTCATCCAAAGATGGCAAAGTCGATCATTTCACAGTACACTGACCTGCCCGCTGCTGGCTGCTACTGAGAACGAATTCAATTTCGACAAGACGGGACAGACACGTTTCTGTCTGAGTCCTATTGTTCGCCCACACCGCCCACTTTCTGCCCAGTATTTTTCCTTCGCGAAGTAGAAAACGGGCAAGTGGGCGACTAATGCTCGAAATTGAAAAAGCTGCGACCAGGGGCAAAAAGGAAATGAGCCCAGCAAACAAGGATGTTAGTAGGCTAGCCCTCCAATGGGAAGAACGAGCTGCCGATTCCGTTGTTGTTGGCGGCTGCAGTGTTGACCATCCATGCTGACCCCCTTCCTGCAAGGTACCTAAGGTACAGCTTGGCTGCAACAACCATGGTCCAAGACAGCAGCCTATCAGATCTTAGACCTCGTTCCAGGGCCCAGGACCCTTCAAAGTCAGCATCATGAGCTCTCGAGGGGGGGTCTAGGAGCGGCGACAACAGCAGATAGAGCAGATTCCAGATATATATTGAAAGGTCATAAATCTTCTGCCGCGAAGCGCTGGCAAAGTGCGTCTCGCTGCTGTGTTGCTGCTGTGGTCGCAGCGACGATTGTACGTAGGCTTAGGAGATTTAGTCTGCTGAACAGTTACTTGGATTTGTTTGGAAGGTTTATTCAACTATTTGGCATCTTGAGGTGACAACGAACTTTTTGGCTTACTTCAGCTTGCGAGAGCTCCTCAATTGATTTGAATATATCGTGGCCTTGGCCTGCCGCGGTCCCATCCTATCCATCCCAAGCCCCAAAATAAAGCTGATCTGTTCTAGGGATTCGGATCCACGAAACCCCCAAATAATTGCTTGACCAAAACCTTAACAGCCTGTTGTTATTGATGGTCCCGACATGGCTGTACGACATCAGGATCAGGGTGGTCTTTGGAAATTTTGGAGGCGTGTTTCAAGAACAGTAATAACGGCTCCGCCCACCATCTACAACCCCAGTGCGGGGACATCCATGGCCACCCCCTGCCTCATCACCGTGGAAGTACCTACAGACAGTGGTCAATAATGTCCTCTGCGCTGTACTTCTCCCCGCACATTGGACAACAAAGATAATCAATCTTAAAGACTACGGGCCACTCAGGCCATGATCGCTAAAGCCGCCAGTCCTTTTAAGTTCTCCTAGATGAATCATGAGCCCGAGCCCTACGTACAGTACCTATCAGAGTACCGTCGACCTGGATCCTGCTAATTCTCTATAGATCTAACTGTTTATGACTGTAGAACTTGGCAGGTAAATGTACTAGGAAGGTTCTCTTGGTTCGCGGGCAATTTCGGCCAGGGACCATGCATGCCCGTAACTATATTAGCTAACTACATGTGAGTAGAAGCTACCGAGCAATCAGACCAAGAACGCGCCGCCGACGGAGCTCTCTTTATTCTTACAACAGCTTCTGCATGTATGTATGCGAGTGACATACTGTGAATATCTGCATAACCCCTCACCACCACTAACAGCACATGCATAGATCTTCTGCTGTGCTGGCGCTCGCGCTCGATCGTGCAAGGGCTCCCCACTGGTAGCAACAGAACCATAATTCGAGGCATCAAATTCCAACGGTGGCGGCGCGGGATCTGTCTGGTAAATACATAGCTACCGAAGAAATGTGGTGTGTTTAAAAAGGGGGTCCACACGCCTTGGCGAATGATCTCTGAGGCTCGGCGGCATGTGCCACACACGGGCCTCTGCTGGCCCCATCAGGGCAGTCACTGACCTGGTTCCGAGATCCCGCGCGTGCCAGTGCCGATTTTCTCGAAGGATTCAATAGGAAGTGATATTCTCCTCTCCTGCAACTCATGGAGCAGATCTCGGAGGATACTGAATCTCGTTATGGTCACGTCAAGGTGCCGTTTCCGGCTCTTTGCACCTGTGGGCTCCCTATGGGAGGGTACCACCAGCTTGTGGTGGCCTTAATTGAGGTAATAGTTGTTCTTTTTGATTTGTGAAAACGACATAAGCTTCTGCGCCTACATTGCCGTGCAGGAAATATAAATGAACAGGTATGTGCACATTTTCTCTATTTATTCAGCTCCTTTGCACCCATTTAATATAGTACCCGCAGACAAGCCCGCACTGATCGATACTTCTGCGTAAAGTACTCTGAGGAACTTCTATACATGCTCTACAGACTGTTTTCCAGCTAGTAGCGTCATATAGGTACGATACGAGCTCGACTCGCATCGTCATGTATTTGCCGACTCGCCTCGCAGTCAAAACCACGGACAATGTCCGTGACTGACTGACCAGCACGACTGTCTCGCTCAGTTCACCTTAATTACATACTTACACAATTTTATCTCCTCCCGCAAAATGTCTTTTTTTGCTCCCCCCATCATGTCGCTCGTAACAACTACAGGAAAGTACCAGGGTAAGGGGATGTTTTATATTACCTCGTGTCTTGATATAGATTTCTAGGTAAGAGTACACGCTTGAGCACAGATTGTTTACTTTAGAGTGGCAGTATCTATGGGCTTTGTTCCTTTTTTCGCTTGCATGCATACATAAGCATTGGTCGGCTGCTTCATGGCCCCTCACTCGACATACTCTTTATAAACTTAATCGAGTACGTATACGCGTTATGCAAGATAGGCAGGTGACATCTGACTGTTTCGGATTTCCATTCACGGGAGGGAATTTCCGGGGTTCCGAGAGACCCTTTGAGGTGCATAGGAAAATATGTATATAGAGTGGAGTGCCTTGGGACCGTGGGGGCGGCTTTTATGCTCGGATCGATTTAGTGGGTCCTTTAAAGAGGATGTAAATTGCTGCCGGAGCATCACAATAAAGAGAGTTCCGGAGTAAGCATGAACATCGAGTATATAAGAATTCTTGTCAAGACATTACTCGAACATTGTCTTTTTCGTCGTTATCCCCGTATCCAATCCTGGGCATATTACATTCCAGTACTAGACTGATATCTTTCCCTAGTCAATTGCCTTCTCAAGTCTTGGATAGACCAATTCGTTCATGAAACTAGCCAATTTTGGTATTTCATAAGTATAACTTAACAGAAGTAAAGAGTTCTTGGTTGCCCCCGAGCGAATACATCGGAATTCGAGATAAGTACCCGTCACTGGGTTTGGGGAGATATGTAAGGAAACGATTAATCGCTATCGATAAACACCAACTCAGAACACAACATATGTATTATTATTTTTTTTAGGAAAAGAGGGATTGATAAGAAATTCAACTCAATGAATCCTGTTCTATGAGCACTATACCCAGGTCTTATTAGCCAATTCCATCACTCCATCGTTTCCGCCCCCCCTTCCAATTAGCCCCCCTCTGTAAATTAAAAAAAAAGAGAGATATCACACACCCTTCCCCACTCCCCCCCCAACCTCAGCATATCTTCTCATTGGTTCTGCTTTCTCCACAAACAGTGACTTATAATACCAAAATCTCCAGCACCACCTACCCACCCTGTTATACCTTGGTGGGTATTCCTCGCCCTCACCCGACCATCCCTGACATGAGCACTCCCAATCAAATCCCGGCATATGGGTTTCCGTGCATTGAAATTTCCAGTCCTTGCGGCATCGATTGTCCGTCTCGTAGATGTAGGCGCATTTAGACATGTCGGCGTTGCAGTGCTTAGTTATCCCCTCTTGGTGTATAATGGCACTGGAGCTGGGTCTGATGATGTAAGTGCATTCGCAGTGGGAAGTATGGGTGACGGATTGGTAGTAGCAGAAGAGGGTGAAGGGATGGGAACAGCGTTCAATGTCGTCTGTGGGCCTGAGTTGAGGAGATCGGTGGGTTGCTTTTGAGCCCCCCTCAACGGAGTCCGCCGTTTTGGCTGTAATGGTGTCTTTTCCGACTATTACGGATGAGCAACATGTTAATAATGGGGACCTGTGGTTTTGATGGAGGAGGAAGGAGACATACTAGATGTCGACGTCGTTTGACGACTGGCGCTGGCGATGACGAGGAAAAGAAGGATGACGGGAATATAAAATTTAATAAAGCCATGCATAGCAATATGAACGAGAGGTATATATATAGAGATATATGAAAGGCCAGGTGAAGGTGGAAACTTGGTTTTTTATAACTGATTGTTGTGTCAGTAGAGTTCTCAATCAAGGTTGATCGAATCTCGGTTTTCCCCACTTGTGGATACAAAATTCTAGGTATTACTTGTAGAGACACAAGAGTACTCTCGATCTCTGTTTCAATGCAGTGAGATTAGAAATTGATCGAGGAGGAGGCTATACTGAAGTGTAATATGTATTTTGTACTGACATCACAGTTGTTGTGCAATGTATCAATACATATTCCCGTTGGAATCATCATTATCGCAGCAGATATCCGCACGGCGCACTTTCCGTGACTAAATAGAGTGGTTTCAGAACCTAAAAGGTTCCGGCGAAGAGAAAAGAAAAGGATGAATGTGTACGCACATGTGTGTTGGACACCGACCTTTTTGCCATGAAGATGCCATTTCCCAAGAGAACTAACTCATTGGCGAAATCATACTCTTCTATTGCATATAGATCATGTGCAGAATTTTTCCATGATACCACCAATATCATAATGGAACTATGTAAACTATAGAGGATGATATAGAGGAATATATTGACCAAAAAGAAGAGGACGGCAAAATTCTAGGATACCCACTGCAGGATACTCCTGCTAACAGTGTTCCAGTTCTTGGCTGGGGTAAAACCTAATAGATATCCCGGAGAACCGAGGAACGAAAATTAAGAAATCATTTAAGGTCTTTACTGACGAAGTTATGAACCCATTCCCTTGGTAGTGGTGATTAGGCTAAGTATTAATCGTGGTAAGAGAGAACCGTAATAGGAAAGAGGGCTAGATACTCACGATTTTGGGCCCACGATGTTCTCAATTATGTGGTATATAAAAGCCACTACTAGTAGGTCACGTTACTCACTACCAGATGATATGCTAATTGGCATTATACATGAAGGCCCCGTGGCAGTCTAGGCCTTTACCGAAATAGACCAATCTCCAATCCACAAATCCAAATTCCGAGACTCTCCAACTTTTATCAAAGATCAATGCCATAGATCCGGCAGACCACAGGCTACATATGTATCCATATATGGAGTAACATGTGTAGGCGTGTAAAACAGACCAGTGACTCCGCTCTTCTATTTGATATTAAGCTCGAGGTATCCATTTCCTTATTATAGCTGTATCCGGCATATATACACAGAGAGGGCGTTGTGACACGTCGTTACTCTTGATGTTTTAGAGACTGGTTGTTGATGGTTTTGTTCAAGATATAATTTACCGTTCCTTTCTCCAAACCACGATAACACCCTTGTCTCAATGTACTGGCTCCATTTGCTGACAGGCCCTACCGTTGTCTCGCCACCAACCATCTCCAACATGCTGTGCGCGCTTAGCTTTCATGTTGGATATTTTCTGTCCTAACAACATCTGATCCGCTGGGAGATCGAAATTACAAAGCGCTGTAATGTAGGTACTTATGTATTAGGACGAACTTGGGACGCCCCACCGCCAGTTGTTTCCATCTCTCCCAATGTGGCAGGTATATGAGAGGATTTCATGCTGTCCCTCGGGCAATTGGATGTTTTTGGTATATACCCCATGGGGTGAGGGGTCTGTGATGAGTGGGCTGCCTACCTAGATCACTCATATTTGCTACATGTAGCTACATGTAGACAAACAAACTGCGAATCGATGCTGCCTTCTTGATGCAGGTATCCCCGTGGTGGAGTACCGGGTGCAATATAGGGTGATGCGATGATCGCCGGTCAGGGTTTATTCAGCAGGCTAGTAGATTACCGAGAAATAGGATAGGTCGATAGATGGGGAACTCAAGTAGAGGGATGGTATGAAGGAGTTCCAGTTAGTAGATACCAAGAACTTGGTGTAGTCTAGTGGGTGCACTCATGAGAGCGCATCATAGGTGGTCACTCTCCAGCTAGATGCCTACTAGCTAGAGTACCTACGCTCGCTAGGCTCTTCACACCTGGGTATTTTTCCGAGACAGATGCATATCAGCACGTCGCAACACGCCATATGTGCGCTACTCTCCTTCACCTACTACACTCTATAGATCTACCCACACAGTGGTCCTGCGCCTATAAGATCTCTAACCAACTAACCATAGATGGAGAGAACCCAACTAATTCCCTAAACTCGGTGTTGTTCGGCAAAGTAAGTACTATCTAGAACCAGGATGTCGGAGCCTTTTGAGCCTGTACCTGTAGAGTGGAGTAGGTAGGTAAAATCATCACCCTTGCCGGCCGGCCGGACTTTTGACTAGAGATGGATGATGATAAGGTACGGGGTGCAGGATTTAAATGCATATGTCAATCCCATAGGAAAATCCTCATGCCCCACTATGATAGCATGTAATGGTGTGGGGAAGAAGAAGAAAATACCCACCTTATCAATGTCGCCTCACCTCACCTCACCTCGCCTCGCTCAGCTCCTTATTTTCTCTCTCTCTCCTACTTGTACACACCTTGCATGGCCAATTTTTCTCAAGGTCATGCGACGTCACTCGCATCCCTCCCCAACCAAACCTCAGCTCGGTATCACGTTCATCGGCATCCATACAGTCAACCGTGTTCAAGTGAAGACTTGTGGCATCATCATTTAGGATATACTACCAGTCTCTATCAACTGTTATCTTCCTAACCATCCCCATACACACCCACCATGCACCTGCACCTCTTTGATCAGACGAATCGGCACATCAGGAACCCGATAAGATCTTACCTCGATCCAGCCCAAGCAGCATGTGAGGCCCCGCGGCCGATTGTATTCATTCTACACAGAAACCCTCATAATAACCAGCAACCCCAAATCCACCAGCACCTGCGGACGGATCGGCGTTTCTCATCAAAGTGTCCCAGAGCCGCTGCTAGTAACCGTCTCTCGGTAGTCTCTCTGGGTCCAACAGCATATTGTTTGCTTTTATCTCTATGAGGTACCAACCACTCTACATCATTCAATATTGCACTGCATCATATCAGTCGATCGATTCAACCTACATACATACATGTTCACATACACATGAACCTCATCGATCCTGCGGTCCCGGAGCTCGGATTCACCACCTCCCGACGACGCCGGCCGGAGCTGCAAGATCCGCCCTAGCATGCAGCCCCCGCAGTTGTCGGGTGATGCCTTGTATTTTTTCACGAATAAAAATCCATAGGCATCTTATTTAACAGTTCCCTCCCTTCAGATCTTCTTTCTGCCTTATTTTGTCAACTCAAATACATAAGCCACGCATATGTGCTGGCCATGGTCTTCATCCTATCTTGCCATCACCAATATCCCAACGAACGCCATAATGCAACAAATAATAAAAGAGAACAAAAGAAAAGAGCAAGAAAGACAACAATCAATACTACAAAGAAATGGATAGCAGCAGAAGTGGTCAAGATTTACATGTCAAAAGAGGGGGAAAGAAAGAAAGAAAAAAGCATGGCGAATATGCTAACTGTTCTAAGGGGAAGCAGATCCGGTTATGATATTCGCAATTTTAAGAAATCGGTACGAAAGAAGGTCTTTGCCGACGAAATAACACGAAAAAACTGAAAAAATAAATCCCTTGACTACAAGGATTACTCAGTTACGTTCCTAGACCAGGCAGGCAGATGATATGCCTAAACGACACCCAAAAAAGAAAGAGAAATAAAGAAGGAAGGGAAAAATACACAAGCACGAAAATAAACCTCCATATATTTGATTTGTTATATAAAATCAAATCAATCGTGTGCGCCCACATTCAATGCAATCGATGCTTTCTTCCGCAAGCCGAAAAAGCTAGTCCGATGTTTCGCCTTTGCTTCTTTTTCCTTCTTCTTCTTATCCTTTTCTTCTTTTCCGGCGTGCCCATTTTCAAGCATCTCTCTATCGAGTTCCTTTACCCGTTCCCGTTCGGGTTCATTAATTTTGTTTAGACCTCCATTCGTCCCATTCAGCTCCCGGTACTCGTTCGTGGGTGGAAGCAATGGGGACATTATCGATGTTGGTGTGCTAGGTAATGCCGGGGTGGCTTGCAAGGGGGGCATATCTCCATTCTCGTAGGAGAAAGATGCATTCCGTTCCCGCTCTTTCTTCCCCTTGCCATCACCTCCTAGCCACTTTGGTGGCCCGCGAAGACTTTTGCTAGTGGAACGGAACCGATTCATGCCAGCGTGATAGCTAGTTTCTCCCTTCTCTTTCTTTTCTGCCTTCTCTTTCTCTTTCTCCTCCCGCTTCTCCTTCTCCTTCTCCTTCTTCTTGGTCTTATGGCCCGGTGTACCGGGTGCGATTTGATCAGGAAAATCAACGGGTGCTCTCCGATTGGGATCAGCAGGGATTTCTGTGCTCATCGTGGAAGGGTTCGAAAGATTCAAAGGAGGTAAATGGTTCTCCTTCAGTTCTGCGCCAACCGACCCTCTGCTAGCATGTCCATTCATATGAGCGCCTACGACCGGTGATTTTAACTTTGCTTCGGCTCTTGCTGCGTCGGCCGCTGCCCGTGCGGCTTCTTCTTCTTGCTGCTGTTCCGCCCACATTTCCCTTTGAACCGCCTCCAAGGTTGTTTCTTGGTAAAACAAGACGTACGCACATGCCATTCCGGGACGCTCACCAAAGAAGTTTCTCACATAGGCCTTGTCCACTGGCTCGACGAGCTCATCATCAAAAAGCAACCAGCCCTTGTCCTCAGTCTTGACTATGGCTACATAATGTCCATGATATGGGCCACCGCCAATGTGAACCACCACAGCGTATAGTTCGTACAACCTATCCTGATCGTCTGCATCATCTGTCGTGTTGAATAATCTCAGGTGATAGGGGTATACCACTCGGTAGTGTAGCTTCTCGAAACGTTGCGAGGTTTCCATGTACTTGAATCGTTTCAAGTGCAACGCAAGAACCTTCGGTAGCCGCTTAATCTTCATCCGCTTCTCGGCTTCCTGCAACCCCCCACAAGTGTCACAGTGAAACTTGTTGCGTTCACACAGCATTTCCGATGC